ATAGTTGAACTGCCATCTGAAATTTTATTAATTTAGTTGTGTGTCTTCTGGATATTGTCAGCAAAGCAAAACAAATTAATAAATTTCCTTTTCTCTCCATCTCAGTTTTCGCTTACCTAAATTGCATTTGTTTTTATGGCATCCGCATATTGTTTCACTTTAGTTTATGATTTTGAAAAGCATGAACATGATGAACATGACTTGCAAGAAACCCTGCACTTCCTTTTTTTTTTCTTTCTTAGGTAACGCTCTGATTTCAGTTCTGTGTTTCATGAATGTCTAATCATGTTTTCCTTTGTACTTGGATTTCACTGTGCATTTCATATTGGTTTTTGGTTGTATGGATTCAATTTAAGTTTCATGCTTTGTGATTTGTAATGTTAGAATTCTTTTGCAGTTACACTGTTAGAATCCTGAAATTTAAGTTTTTGCTTAAAGTTGGTTGGTTGGTTGTATTTTGAGGCTATGTAATTATGTGGTTGAAGTAATCAAGAAACTGATAGATAAGGAAAAGAGGGACAAAAGAATCAACATATCACCTGTTGGGTTTTTTAAAGAATGATTGGTTGGTCCATTTGTTTTCTCACCTCAAAAATGGCCGGGACCGCATACTAAATCGTATACTTCATAAGCAAGCCAAAGTAAATAATATCCAGCTTCCTATGCTTATTTTTCTATTTTGAACCCCACATAAAACAGAGCCACTAATTAATCAAGGGAACTCAGAATACTCCCTTCGATTGATATAGTGATAGTTTGTTAATTTTTAATTTTTATAATTATTGTTTTGTTGTGTTTGATTTATGTTCAAAAGAATTGCCTCCAGTAGAATCAATAATGTAGCAATGAGATGCTATGTTGAGTGCTATGTTGATATATAATCCCTGAATTGATATATAATCAACTTATATACATTAGAAATTGACATATAATCCCTGAGGTATATAATCCCTGAGATGCTATGGTGAGTGCTATGTTGAGTGATTTTGTTTTGTTGCCAACTCAGGAATTGATATATAATCAACTTATATGCATTGGGAATAAGATGCTATATTGAGTGCACAAAATTGGATAAATATTATGTTACATTTAGCTTAGAAAATTCATTATCTTGCCACCCAAAAAGTTCTATAAGTGGAGCATAAAATGCTTCCTTTTTTTTTTTTTTTTTTTGTTTGCCCTTTTGAATGTTTTTCCCCTGAGGTTCTCAGTAAACATTTCACTTGATTTCTTGACTTGGTGGGCTTGATTGATTATCAGTTTTGAGTCGAATGTGCTAACTGTGTATATCGATTTAACTAGGCTTGACATTAGTATTTATATATTGATTTGATAATTTTATGTTAGAGATATTAGAGTTGTTTGTTTGTTTATAATCTTCTTAGCTGACTCCTCTGCCATCAACCAAGCTTGAGTGCTTATTTGAGAAGAACAGTCATGTCAAGAAAATCCTTATTTACGAAAGAACTTATCAATATGGAGTATTTACGAAAGAACTTATCAATATGAATGATTTGAGTGTAACTGAGCATTTGTTTTCAATCAATCAAAAATATGAAAACTACTTTTGTGCCTAATGCCTTTTTTCCAAATTTGCTTTGCGATGGTCACACATTGAAACTGATGTTTTGGCTTTAGATGCATTTGATGTTTTCGCTTTAGATAGATATATGAAGAAGCGCTTCTTCTTTTTTCAGTTTTCTCATCCTTTTTCTCCTTTTTCTTTCTTAACCATGTCTTCTTTTGATGTTTTGTAGGTGGTATTTTGTTGGTTCAAATCAAGTTGTTAGGGTCTTGCTTTTGGTTCTGTTAAGCAAGAGGTGAGTTTCTTGATTATAATAAATTAGCAGAAATTAATTGTTTTCCGTTTTGTCTTAACAGAGATAAATAATTATGCAATTCATTTGGATTGTATCTTTCTCAACCTGTGTTCACCCATGGGCAACTTTATGTTGCGTTATCTAGATTTACATCAAGGCAAGGTCTTGAAATCATAATACACAATAATAAAGAAGTTCCTACCAAATACACTAAAAACATAGTGTACAAAAATGTTATTCAAAATTTACAATCAGGTTTCAACTTTTATCCATCCGTGATTAAACATTTCTATATTTTTTATATCAATTTTCATACATTGCTGTATCCATTTTTATACTAACAAAATATATATTTTATTTTCAGCTTTATGATACAATGAGTTTCGTTCACATCCGTGATTTACAGCCGTTTCAATTTAACAAGAAGATTAAAGTCCGTGTATGTAGAATTTGGAGACCAAAACTTATTGGATATGATGATCAATTCGGTGGTTTACAGTGTATACTGGTTGATCAAATGGTGAGAAAATCTCTTTATTATTCATGTTATTTCAGTTTAGTTATCACAGCTTCTTCACTTGCAAACAATTAGATTCAACTAGATTAAATTTTACTAATGTATTTTCTACTATGATTTTAAAGTTAACTAATATATTTCCTAAAACTGCTTTCAGTTTTAATTAATTATGAAAACTTCATTTGCAAAGAATTAAATCCAACTGGATTAAATTTTCCTCAAGCATTTACTACTATGATATTAGAGTCGCTTAATATATTTGGTAAAACCAGATTAAATTATGTTTCAAAATTACCTAATAGTTTATTTCAGTTGAACAATTCTTATATAATCTTAACATTAATATTTACATCTTAATATAGGTCTTTTTCATTCATTTTTTCTATAAATGTTATAATCTAGCCCCTGCCAATGTCAATAATTTAGACCTGTATATATGTGTATGTATCACTTGATTACGTAATAGCTTTTGTTAAACACCCTTATCCATTCCAAAAACCTAAATTGTTTTTAATTTTCTTCCGTTCCAAATTGGTTCTCATAGTTTACTTATCAAGCAGTTTAGAAAGTGTCACCTTATAAACAGGGCCAAATCCTCCCTCTCCCAGTTTATTTGCTAGATTGAAGTTGTTTGTTGCAGCTAAAACTCTTTTTAAATTGAAGAGTGGTAGTTTTGCATCATTCTTCGCAGCTTCAGCTCTTTCTTTACTTATAGTCTCACTCATACAGCCTTCCGTGCTCCCTGTTTCACTCTTATTATTAGAGCATTGGTTGTTTGGAACACTAGAATATATGCGTTTGTGTGAGTGACAAAGAGAAAAAGAAAGATAAGGGTGGTAGCACTATACCTTCCATTCCCAAGTATTTCTTCCATATGAAGAATTTGTTGGTTGGGAGATTTTGTTGTCAAGAGACTTTCTTTCTTTTAGTGGTTTGATGTTCATTCGACAATTGAAAGACTCTGAAAGCAAGCTAATATATAGAGTGACGGTATAAATAGATGAATCATGGATCTTGGTGCAATTCTCTATGGTTTTTTGGGTTATTTTTTATGCTGTTTTCATTCATGGGTTGGTTTTTATGTATTTTGTTTTTAGAAGTTGGACTTTTTGAAATTTGATATTGATATGGGAATTGAAAGCTTTCAATTCAGGATAATGCTTTTCAGTGTGTGTTAATGAAATTGTTCTCTGGCTTTTCCTTATCTGAAGAATGCCAATTTTCCATGGAAACAAAGGAGATTAGGATATTATATAGAAACAAAAGAAATTGTGTGTGTTATGTATTGCAATACAGTTATTTTTAAAAAATTTTTTTTTTTTTTTTTTTTTTTTTTTTTTTTTCTTTAATTCTCTGTTCCTCTATGTTACTGAAAATAATAGGGTATGATTTATTTATTTGTAATTATGCAAATATATAGTTTCCTTCTTTTTTTTTGTTGGGTAAACAAAATCTGTTATAGAAATGTACTTTGTGATTAAAAATTTTGGGGTCCAAACAAGGAATTGATTTTTCATGAGCTTGATTGACAAGAAGTAAATATTTCCACCTTGAATTTTTATGGATGGCTATATTTTAGGGGTTCACAGCTCTTTGAATTTGTTTTCCAGGATTTTTCTTCTCTGTTTGTGATTAAAAAGATGAATATCATGTTATTAGTGTTGTAGTGGTAGAAATCACTCTAGATTAACATTGCCTTTTGTCTAATATTTCAAGAATGTATAAAGTTCTTTTTGAGTAGCGGAGTCCAAGGTTTACAAAAAGAAGACAAAAAAGTAGAAGTGGGAAAATAAAAGAGGAATGTAGTGAGCAAAATCTACAAGGCTAAGAAAGGTTAAAAATGAAATTTAAAAATATAAAAAAATCTTGATTGTTTAAGGGAACTTTTGCATAGATAACTTTTGATCGTATAGTCTTTGTTTCAAATGCATCTACGATCATTTAAACAGCCCTCTTCCTGTGCATGCGAGTCTCAAGACTTTATTTCTCTTCTTTTAACACTTTTTTCTTGATGATATTAACTTGGTTCGTTAAGTTTTCTTATTTAATGACTATAATGCATGGAAATCAATCATGCTTCTAATATTTCATTTTTAAATTCACTGTTGTTTCAAAGTTGCTTCGTTTAAATGCTTAAAGATCGATGCTACTTCTAATATTTGGTTTTCAACTAGGTTGTTTACAAATATAATTTGTTTCGTACTAAATTTTTTTTCCTTCTTTTTTCAAACATGTAGGCAGATGCGATTCAAGCCACTGTGAAAGAGATTGACTATGATTTAATTGGTGCAAAGATAAAAGCTGGTTGTATTTATGAGATCACACATTTTCACTCCGGCCGTAGCAAAACATCACACAAAGTTGTTCCGCATGCTGCCCATTTGTTCTTCAATACAAGAACTGTTTTCACCGAACTGTCAAGTGTTTATCCCCAAATTCCACGACATCGATTTTATTTTCTTGATTATGGTCAGTTGTGCACTCGCATAGACAAAAATGAAATCTTGACAGGTAATACTCTACATATTCTCCAAAAATATGCATTTATGTATAATATATATTTATCAACAATTTTTATGCATTTCTATAAACTTATCATACTACTTTGTCAAATTGCAGATGTTTTGGGACACATTACTGCTGTACAACCTTTAGAAGAAAAAATGGTGGGCAATGGAAGGTTGGAAACCAAATGTGAAATTTACATTCAAAATATCAGGTACATGTGTTAACAAAATGTGTGCACATTTTCAAACCATTATATCTCTTGCTAATTTATTTTTTCATGTTTGATCATCCAGGAAAGAAGATGTTAGAATAACGCTATGGGGAGACACTGCACGAGCGTTTGATTTCCAAGCTTTGGAAGAGTTGGCACCACCAATAATCACTGTTTTCACAAGTCTTAAAGTCAAACAATTCCAAGGTATTCAGCTTAATTTTCCTTTCTTTCCATTATTCAAACTTCATCTCAAATAAAAAAAATCTGATTTATAGTTTACAAATGTGTAGGAAAAACTGTTCTGAATAGTAGCGTGTCAACAATGATTTTCATCGATCCGGATATACAAGAATTAGATACATACAAAATGACGTATGATTTCTTATCCTCTTTATGCTAACATACATCTTTCTTCCTCCTTTATCCGAAACTAATCACCTCATTTTTATATAAAAAAACAACAAAAAAAACGAACACAGCTTTGGCGCTTTTGTAGATGCTATTAAAATGGTCCCTCCTTCTTCGATTCAACCGATCAAGCCTGAGGAATTAGAAAATGCTAAAAAGCTATCTGTACAAGAGTTGAATGTTCTTGATCCGGATTTATGCAAGGTAAAAAGCCAATTTCCTCCCTTTATCTCCCTATTATTCTTAATTTAACATACTACATTATAAATTATTTAAACTAGAACTTATTTCGATTTTCTCTTATTGTTGTATGTTTTATAATTATTATCATTTTATTAACAAGTCTGTTTAAACATGTTCTAGGATGCTTTTATTTTATGTAGAGCAGCCATTACGCGTTTTAATACGCGTAGTGGATGGTGGTATAAGGCATGCCCATCCTGCTTCAAACAACTTAGATCCATTGCCCACAATGATGAACTTCTGTGTCCTAAACACAATAATCAAATTCCTCTCCCTTGGTAATACAAATATTAGCAATTAGTTTCATCTTATTTTTTCATAAACTTCAAACACAAATATCTTAGATTATTAAAACATTACATGAATTTTACATACAGGTTTAAAGTTGGTTTGGTTCTTGAGGATTCAACTGATGAAACAAATGCTATGATCATTGGAAAAGCAGCAGAGCAATTGTTTGGAATTTCTTGCAATGAATTGGTTATTCAACAAGGTTATACTGACCAGCAAGAGTTTCCACATGCAATTCTACAGACAAGAGGCCAATTTAAAATTTTCAACTTCGGTTTGGCAGCATAAAAACTGATTCAAACAGAAATGATTTGCTTATTCAAGCTGTGTTTGATGAGAAGGTACAACTTCTTGAATCAGGATCAGAAGCCAACTTTGTTGAACATCAGAAAAAAAATATTGCTGCCCAAATGCTTCCGCCCACTCCCCCACTTCTTTCAAAGAAAACACCGCCTGTATCTCTCGCTGTCTCATCCAATCCTTCTTCAGTGGAGCCCATTTCAAATTCGAAAAAGAAACGTAAACTTCAAGTGAAAAGAGCTCTTCTCACCTCTTTAACAAGTAAAAAACTGAAAAGGTTAGAGTTTACATAACAATTAACTCATTCGTATTAATATTTTTATATAAACATTTACTAATACTTTTCTTTTCACTCTGTTTTACATCTTTCTAAGTGATGTTGAAGCTGAAAACAAATCTGAGAAAACTGTTGCTGTGCAAACCAGAGAAGAAAATGTGTCAGCTTCTGACAATTTACCAATTATCGATTTGAAGAAGAAAACAGTCCAAGGCAGTTCCGAAACCACCTCTCCTACTCCCACATCAGAGTTTGTGCTCTTTCCTTTTCAATTCATTCATCTCACTGATACACACATTACACACAAAGTATTTCATTGTTATTTCTTATGTTTACTTATTAAACTTAATTCTATCATAATAATTAATACTTGCCAATTTTTGACTTTATGCCAACAGAGCTAAAACCTCTAAAAAGGAGAAAAAAGAGCATTAGTCAGCCAAACAACAAATGCAGCAACAACAAAAGCCCTTTACCAAAAGCATCAAAGAAGAAAAATCCATGTCCACTACTCATTAAAATATAGATAAACTCATGTACAAGTTTTTTTGAACAATATGCAACTTAAGGTTGCTCATATTTTGATGTTTTAATAGCTGCTTGATATATTAAAATATGCACAATATTTTAACATAACAAGCAGCATATAAAACATGATGTTAGTTTATGTTTTGCAACATAAGCTTGCCCAAATTGCACTGTTTGCATCTGAATGTATATATAAATAGCCTAAACTCATGATAGCACTGTTTGCATCCACTAAACTTTTTAATAGATCAATAACTTGCTGATGGATTTCTGAACATACTGTTGAATCCTTTCATTCTTTACCCAAATTGATTCTGTAATGATTTTGCTGCTATAATAGTTGTTAATTTGTTGTTGTAATGATAGGTTTAGATGATTACAATATTTGAGCATGTTAGTGAATCCTTTTAAGTATTTTGGTAATTAGATACTTGACAACTCCCAATGTGGGGAGAGAGTGACAATAATGTGGAATTGATTGAAGGGAAAAAGATAATCTCTTTCTCTGTGTGTACTACCATTGTTTCATATTGCACAACAGCTATTTGATGAATGAGTATATATATATCTCTGTAAGTCATCTAACAGAGTTTGATCTATATTTTCTGCTCATAGAATGTACTTCTATATAGTTGTGCTATTGTCGGTGTGTGTCCATTTTGCTTTATTAGGCTATAGATGTAATTAAGAAATAACAGTTTAATTCATGAATGTTTTTTTTCCCTTCCCAACTATTGATCTATTGGTCAAAATTTGACTCTGATTTTTTGCTTTGGGTTTTGATGATGGCTGATATTCTGTTTTCTTCTATCTCTATTTGTTTTTGTTTTCCAAGATTTTTCTTTTGTTTTAGAAGTGGACTAATGAAGTTCAGGCATCTCATATAAAAACACTGCAAAGAAAAACATATTTGGACAGTTTTGGGAATAGAAAATCAGAAATTGCAATTTTTTCATTTTTTCTTGCTTTTTGTCTTCAGTCTATGTTTTGTAGGTGTTGAGTGAGGTAATTTTGCAACAAATTGATTTCTGCATCTATAAAGTTTGTACACCATGTTGTGTTACAATTTCTTAAAGATTCTGCCTAATTTTTCAAAAAAATTTGTCCCAATTCGACACTCTGCTCGATGTGCAACCTGTGACCAAAAAACCATTGTAACAATCGACAAATTATTAAATTCCCCTTTTGATTTTTCTAATATTATGAAACTGTTTCCATCCTTTTTGAAGGATAAATGATTTTGTAATGATATTTGCTTATACTTTCGGAAGAGAGACTTTTGTCGACTGGAATATGTTAATTCCTAGATTTTGCGAAATCTTTAGTAAAACTTAATGATTGCAGTTAATTATATCCCTTATTTAATTTGTTGTTGTGCATTTTCAGTTTTCCCCAAAATTTGATCAATATTTTAAGATGACAAGCAACATATAGAACATGTTATTAGTCTTTATTTTGTAACTTAAACCCGCAACATCGTGCGGGCACCTTTGCTAGTACTTACTATGTGCCAACAACCCTATTGGTATTTGCTTCAGTCTGATTTATTTCGAAAATCTTAGCCATTCCGAAGTCTGAAATTTTGGGATTCATTGCTCCATCCAACAGCACATTACTTGCTTTCAAGTCCCTGTGAATGATTTTCAATCTAGAGTACTTGTGGATATAAAGTAGTCCCTGAGCAATACCTTCTATAATTCGAAAACGTCTTCCCCAATCTAATTCTGTATTGTTTGATGGAGCTGATAGGACAAACCATGAAGAAAAAATGAGCTAAGTGTTTCTTTTTTCATTTTTTAGATGAAATGCTGGACAAATGGAAAAAGATCTTGCATTACACGACTTTTGACGTCCGAGAAATCAACAATATCAAACAATCAAATCTTAGAAGGAATGAGGATATACCAAACAAAAGTTTGTCCAAACTTCGATTGGGCATGAACTCATAGATCAAGATGAGTTCCTCCTCTTCAATACAGCAACCCAAGAGCCTAACAAGATTGGTATGCTGGAGCTTGGCTATAAGCTTTAACTCATTCATAAACTCCAGATGTCCTTGGGCTGACTTCTTTGACAGCCTTTTTATGGCTACTTCTTGATTTTCAAGCAACACCCCCTGTAGTGGAAGGAAAATTCCGCACAAAGTGAACCACCATTTTACAAATTCTACTCAATTAGGAAAAAGGTTATTAGGAGAACAAGAAAAGAAATTATAATATTTATGAAAGAACAACATTAATTAGCATTACAAAGTGGTGAAGTGTCCCCTTATAAACAGGGCCAAATCCTCCCTCTCCCAGTTTATTCGCTACACTGAAGTTGTTTGTTGCAGCTAAAACTCTCTTTAAACTGAAGAGTGGTAGTTCTGCATCATTCTTCGCAGCTTCAGCTCTGGCTTTACTTATAGTCTCACTCTTACTGCCTTCCGTGCTCCCTGTTTCATTCTTATTACTAGAGCATCGATTGTTTGGAACACTAGAATATATGTGTTTGTGTGAGTGAGAAAGAGAAGGAGAAAGAGAAGGGTGGTAGCACTGTACCTTCCATTCCCAAGTATTTCTTCCACAAGAAATACCCAAGAACTAATGTAATCAATACCCCTGTTGCCGACGCTATTCCAATTACAGGGGACTTTTTCAATACAATATGGGAATGACTCTTAAGACCTGCCAAGAAAAGAAAACGAATGACCAATAAAATAATTGCTGTAAGCGTCATTTCTGGCCAACTACTGTCTGCTACGGATTCTAATTGACAAATCCATGCACAAAAATGCAAAAGAAATCACAAAACTTACCTAGTTGGGAGCCATGAACACGAATATAAACATCATGCCCATAATTTTGTACACTGGGAGAATCAACAGGTTGATTATCTAGAATATCCATCAAGTCACCAAACCATGTCAGACATTTCCTACTGCTTCCTGCGGTCACATTTGGATAAGCATAAGCTGTGCAAGAGCAGTTCTGGAAGCATTTAGATTCACACGCACTCATAGTCATATTTTCTAACAGAACAGCATGATCTGGCAGTTTCAACTTAGAAAATTTTGAAAACCCATCTTCTTTACACATCAATGCTTTCTCTCGAACACAGCCACCAACCCAATTCCCCTTATCCCATTGTTCTTGGAATTTTGGCCGAAAACCTGTCAAACACTTGCATGGTGATGAGAGGGTTTCATTTTTATCATTGCAGGCACCGTATGGACCACAACGATTATAGAAATCACATGTATCAACAGGCTTCTTCCACCATGAAAACCATTTTTTACTGAGATCTAGCCACAGAAGCAGCTCAATCTGCCCATTTGGATTCAATATTACCCTATCTGAGACACCATAAGTAAGGTAAACCTCTTCAGCATCCGAGTTGTAAGTAAGGAAGTAAGCAGTTCCATTTAACAATGGAGCATGACCACCATCAACAACAAAGTCTGTGTTCGTCTCTTTGCCAACGTACAAATCACTTCTCCAATATATAGCATTTTCCTTCCAGATAACAAGCTGGCCAGGCACTTTAGGATCAATGCCTGAGGTAAACTTTCCGGGTTGTGGATCATCAAGTGCTGCCCAGGATGTAAGGGCCCTTCGTTTGCCCGTCCTTTTATTAAAGCTAAGTTTCATGTTAGCCAAAAAAGTATCAGAGGGATTATCGAAGCTCTGCCATAGAGTATCTTCTCCAAATCTAAGTTGAAGATCTCCATTATCTACTAGTACACCAGTTGTCCCATTCTTTGCAGAAGCAGGTACTGATGTATTAGAAGACCAGATAACTTTTCTATTCCCATCCACAGTGTCCAACACCACTAGATTCCCATCACCGCTGAGCGTAAACACACCCGGAGAATCAAGTGGGGATTCTCTGTTAGCTACCCATATTATTGGTGTCTTCGGGATTTTGTTGTACCATATACCAAGGAAGTATTTGGTAGAATTTTCAGGACTGAAGAAGCCTAATGCAAAGGTCGCCAAGAGAAGAAATCAAGGTCTGGTTTCCAATGATAGATTTTCCTGGTCCTAAATTCTCTTGGCTGATACAAATTGGCAAGACAAGAGATAGAAGTAGCAAAGCAAGACAAAGATTGAGCCACTCCATTCAGCAACGGAGAGACAAAGAAAGAAGAAGAAAAAATTTGTTCTTGCCTCAAAACTAAAAAAGTAAAACTATAATCTGTGCTTACTAAAACTAATGAAAGTTGACACCATAATTGCGTTTCTTCCATTCAAAATAGGCACCATGTTTCTCCAAAGCACCTGAATTGCATTAATTATTATGCCGAAATTAATGTATCATATTTACTAGAAATTTGTTGGGACAACAGGAGCTGAGGCGATTACCATTATCTCCAGATCTACTATTTCCCAAGCCACTCAGGTCCAAAGTATGAGTGAGACCACCCGTTGTGCTTTATCACCGTGCTAAGCCGAGATTCAGAAATAATAACACCACAAAGCCAACCACGATTGAACAACTTAAAATAAACAAGGAACAAAGATAGTACACAAAAGATTAATGAGGTTCAGCAAAATCATGCCTACGTCTCCGAATAGAGTACTTCACTATAAGAATAATAACAATACAAGATACATTGGAATTAAATCTACATAAGCCAAACTCCAAACCCCTATAAGCGGACTCACAGTATTTCCTAAGACCTCATCTCTCACAAGAGTTCTGTACTCTCTTGCTTTCCTCTGGGTTCTTTCTCTCATGTTAAGCCCGTCTTCCAGTCTTGCATGCACCCACATCAAATCGACCAGCTGCCACTACAAAAAAAAAATCAACAATTGTTACCTTTTTATTGGTGACTGTTGGCATCATTAGTCACCTTTTTGGTGAGTAAAAGCAATAGTCACGATTCTGCTACAACTTTGGGCTTCAATACATATGAAGCCGTGACTAAAGCCTATTCTCACCATTTTAACAACATTCGTGACAAACACAAACTGACTCTCAACACCATCTAAAAGTACAGCGGGGCCCATCATCTATCCAATCAACTTCAGTTTATAATATTTTATTACTTATTTGACTAGTTGGTATATTTTTATCATTATCTCAATAGCATTTAAGTACAATGGGGCCCATCAAATTCAACAAATTGAAACTATATTTGTGTATTAGACACATTCATTTAAGTAAATTTAGGTTTTAGACATAAAAAAATTTTCACATTAGGAAAAAGCCAAAGCTTTTTCAAAAAAGACAGAAAAACCTCTCAACTTTCAAATCAAAGACATGCAAGTGTAAAGGATTTCTTAGGAAATCCAAAAATAAATAAGGGCAATTTTGTCCATTTTAGCTTCTTTTACAAAATTTCTCTCTCCTCTAGGTTTTTCCAAAGTCTCCCTTAGATTTATTAAAAAGAATTACAGTTTTCATTTGTATATTTCTTACTTTTCATTTTCCAATAATTAATTAATAAAAATATTGCTTTTATTGATGTCTGGTCTTTAATGTAATTTCAATATAATTCAATATACAATTTAATAAAGATATTGACTTTCATTGCAATTTCTTCAAGTAGAGTAAACATTTCATAAACATATTAGCTTTGATTTCATAATTTTCATTACAATTTACACATATGGAGGATTAAACCTCCCAAAATATTAAGTCACTGGTAATTAAATATACAATCATTTGGGATCTACTTTCAAAAAGGAAATGGCATACCCTAGTACCAACAAAGCAATTATGATCACCCCTATGCCATATCCTCTCACCCGATTACACTTCTCTCTTCCAAGCACTTTAGAATATACAATATTGATTTCCTTTACTATTACTTCATCTAGTAGTTGGTTTTGCTTCTTTTTATTCCTAATATGAATGATCTTTGAATTCATATCTTCCTGCATGAAGTAATCACAAAGAATATATATATATATGTTAATTGTGCATTCTACTACATGGATGCCTCTATAACAAGCAACACAAGACAGTAGATCCTAAAATACAATCAAATTCAGTCTCATCACCATAACTTATGCAGATGTCTCATTCACATGTGTTCCATTCTTTCTTAGGTGGCACAATTCAAACATTTTGCATCTCTCAGAGGAGACACCCTTGTGATTCACCTTCTAAAATCCACTAGACATAATTCACATATCAAATATCATTTTAAATCAAATCACAAGTACTAAAAGAAGTTTTTCTTAAGCCATCCACAAAATCACTTGTTCATGGCCCATTAAGTAAAACAATTGAAAGCACATACCAGTTGTCCTATATTTTTATCATTTATATACGATCAAAACATTATGAGAATTTACATAAGCAGACTTACAATATGATAACATGCTCCACATTAATTAACTAGAAAAACTGTGACACTTACATATTGGTTCCTCACTTGGGCATATGATTTTGTCCCCGTTGTGTGCTTCATCATCCTGCGCTTCACACGATTACATTTATTTGTGACCCATTACATTTAATAAGCAAAACTAAACTAAACATTCAAACAACTTGAAATTTAAAAAAGTTAACAAAACTAACAAAGCATATTGAAAAAGCATGGTGACAATCGCAACATAGTGGTCCAGTTATTGATATGAAGAAAATAGTCAATGAGTAAATTTTTTAAAAAGGGTTAATGACCTAAATGGTCCCCTAACTATCGCTACATTATCATTTTGGTCCATCAACTAAAATTTTCAATTCAAACGTCCTTAAACTTTTTATATTATACCAAAATCGTCCTTCCGTGACAGATTCCGTCACTTTCGATCACGCGATGGCCATGTGACTGAGTTTTGAAGGGTATATGCGACTTTTTGAGAGTCATTTACACCCATTAACTTAAAACACTGAAAAAACCCAGAAATGGGAGGTTTTGGTGGAGCTTCTAACATAAATGGGAGGGAATGCGGAAAAGATGCCAACTTTGGCTTATGAGAAGAGGAGTAGAGCCAATGGTGGAAAAGCGCAGGTGGGTTTTGTCGATTGGGTTTCTGGGTGTGTTATGGTTTAGGTTGATTTTTTTGGTTGAGCTTGTGTTGAGGTGCTTGATTTTTGGGGTTTGGAGATGGGGGTTTCAAATAGATTGGGGGGATTGTGTTTGGGAGATGGGGGTATTTAGGGTTTGGAGATTGGGCTTTGGTCTTGGGTTATTTGGGACGAATCTGGGCAGATGATGATGGAGGTTTTTTAATTATATTATATATTTTTAATTATTAGTTATTTTTAACTATTATAAATTTAATTATATTTTTATATACAACCCTTGGACATTGGACATTGGAAACTGATGCACAGTGAACAGAAATGGGAGGGAATGCGATACTACAGTGGCCAAGTCGTTTTAGAAGAGGATACTCATCTAAAAATACGGTTTTGTCCCTCGATTTAACAGAATAATTCACAAACTTTGACGGAAGGACGATTTTGATACAATATAAAAAGTTTAAGGACGTTTGAATTGAAAATTTTAGTTGATGGACCAAAATGATAATGTAGCGATAGTTGGGGGACCATTTAAGTCATTAACCCTTTTAAAAATGATGGCACTCAACCAACCCAAAGGAAAAGAAAGAGGAAAAAAAAAGCATCAAACAAACAAGGGAAGATTTGATATCTGTTTAGAAAAATCCAACAGCAAAATCTTAAGTACTTTAGCCCTTCCTTCATTCCCTAATTTTCTCTTGAAGATGGCCAAGACAAATAGAAGAAATGGAAATACTTTAGTGAGCTAAAAACTAGTTTCTGGCTGCAATCAGATATTGCACTTGGTTATTATGTATGATCAGATCTTATAGAACCATAATTGAATATCAAAAACAAAATCATCAGAAATTTATCTTTAAAATAAAAATCAAATCAAATTTAACAGAAACAAAGGAAAATAAACAACCCAATCAATAAATTAAATGCCAAAATTTGCAGTAATTCAATTCAGAAAGAAACATACCAGCAAAGTCAAAGACTTTATCGAACTTAAGAAAGCAGTGATTATGAAGAATAGCCGATACCCCACCTTCAACAAAACAAAAATACCAAAAAGCACCATATTTCATGAAACCCAAAAGAGAAGAAAATAAACAAAGGAAAAAAAAATGCTTGCAGAGAGAAGAAACATAGTTACAGTGAAAATGGCAAAACTTAAGGCATAAATTAAATGCCAAAAAAATGCTTGATGACATGTGGTATGTAGACGAATAAGTACTTAACATATTGCAGTGGGTTTAGGTCCCAAGTATGAATGAATGATATGACCTTGCTTTATAACTAAAACACAAAACAGCATGGCTAAACTGGTGAAATGCCCTCTAAATTTGTAGCGTACTTTCAATTTTCCCTTTAATCTTTTTTCTAGAAAATTAAAGATATAAACTATTTATTTAGCTGATAATTTGCCATTAAAAATTTCATGTGCCAAGCATGTGAGACTATTTAAGGAGAAATTGGTCATTTGCACTTTAAAATAATTAAAACTAAAAAAATAAGCAAATAATAATAATAATAATACTAGGCTTAAATATAGAAATGGTCATTGTGTTTACCCATCTGGCCAATTTAGTTATCGTGTTTTCTATTTGGTCGATTTAGTCCTTATGTTTTACTCTGTTAGCCAATCTTGTCTATTCCATTAAATTACAGTTAAAAATTCATTAAAGTTTTAAAATTAATTACAAAACTGTAAAGGTTTACAAAATTTAAGTTTATTTTACAAAATAAAACAAAATTATAAAATTAAGAAATTTTAAATAAATAAAACCCAACACCCTCTACGCCCTCTTCTTCTCTCAAGCCGCAACCACCACCCAAGTTCCCACCATGAGCAATCCCAGCCACCAACCCACTCACTTACTCACTCTCTCTTTCTCTCTATGATCCATCCCACCCAACCCCGCAACTCGTCTATGCATCTCCCTTTCTCCTCTCTCGCATCGCATCAATCCCTCCTTCCCACCGTACATCTTCTATTACCCCATCTCATAGCTGGGTTGTTTTTGCAATTTTTTTTTACATTTTCTTTTTTAACAGTCACTATTTTGTTGTTTAAAAATGGGGTTTGATTTTAAAATTGAGATTTTATGTTTTTCTATAACTAATTTGAGATTTTTATTAATTCAAATAATATTTATGAATTTTTTAACAGTAATTTAATGAAATGGACAAAATTGGTTAACTTAGTAAAACACAAGACTAAATTGAAAACACTGGTACCAAATTGGGCAAGTGAGTAAAACACAAGTACGATTTTAACATTTAAGCCTAATAATTAAACCCCAACCTCCAGCCCCACCCCATTGACCTCCCCCTCTTCGCCTCTCTCTGTCTATCTCCCTTTGCCCCTCTCTCCAACTGCGCTGGAACAAAAAGCCGAAGCATCTATCTTTGTGGCTATTTCTCTCCCTCTTCCCTATCTGATCATGTACCCGCTATGGGTGCTGGGTTATGCTGGGGTTTGAAAAAAAAAAATTACAGAACAGAGAAGGAAAAAAAAATGATGTTAGGGTGGTGGTGGATTGACTTCTTTGGATGCTTATTACTCAATGAAAAGTGTCGGGCTCACCGATATTTGGGTAACAGAAGAAGCATGTTTCACTTTCACCTTTCTTCTGCCAATGTAAAAGCTACGGCTGGCTCTTATGTATATAACATTGCCAGAGTAACTAAACATAAATCACGTGTCACTTTCTTAAAAATGGATAGCAACACAATAGTTTGTATTAGCAAGGTAGAATGATCATGTTCTTTTTAAGCACGGACAGGGAGATTCGAACTTGGACCGCTCCCTGACATTGAAACCGCTATCGACGTTCTGGTATACTAATGGTGGTTGTATTGTTGGAATAGCTAACATCAATGGCATTCCTAAGAGTTGAAAAAGCAGGTTCTTTGGAGGGTGGAGGTAACGTGGCTTCAATGCCCTGCAGCATTAGAATGACTGAAGGCATTGCTGGTCGATCATCTGAATCTTCTTGTACACACAAAGCCCCACATGTATACACCTCAAAGCTTCATGAGGGCAGCATGTTTCCCTCACTGATGCATCAAGCACCTCCATCCCTCTACCTTCTTTCCATAGTTCCCATGCCTATAATTTAAACACATAAACCCATCAATCTTGCATGACTGTTCACTTACTTGCACTTGAACCTTACAGAGTTAATTGCAAATTTGACAAGCTTGAAAAGAAGAATATAAAACTAAATTGTTAGTACTTACCCATCCAGCAAGAGTTTGTGAACGTTCAAAACAGTTAAAATCAGCATTCTTCTTCCCACTTACAATCTCCAACAACAACACACCAAAGCTAAATGTATCCAATTTCTCAGAAAAATGGCCATAGAGTGCATATTCAGGTGACATGCAGCCGCTGCACGAACGATAGAGACGTGAGAAACAGTAAAGATTGCATAAGGTTTACGTGAATGAGAAACATGTGCTCTGTATACTTTCTATGTCCCAGCAACCCTCTTGGTATCTGTTTCAGTTTGATTCATCCCGAAAATCCTTGCCATTCCGAAGTCTGAAATTTTGGGCTTCATTGCTCCATCCAACAGTATATTACTTGCTTTTAGGTCCCTGTGAATGATTTTCAGTCCAGAAAATTTGTGGATATAAAGTACTCCTTGAGCAATACCTTCTTTAATTTGAAAGCGTTTACCCCCAATCTAGTTTTGCCTTAGCAGATGCATCTAATTGGACAAACCATGAGGAAAATGAATTTAGTGTTTTTCTTCTATAAACCTTTTTGTACACATGAAAAAAGATCTTGCAGAAAGCAATCAAATGTGATATCCCAGAAATAAAAAAAAATCAAAGAATTAATCTTAGAAGTTGTGGTGATCATTTACCAAACAAAAGTTTGTCCAAACTTCGATTGGGTATGTACTCATAGATCAATATCATTTCCTTCTCTTCAACGCAGCACCCAGGAGCCTAACAAGATTGGTGTGTTGGAGTTTGGCTATAAGCTTCAACTCATTCATGAACTCTTCATGTCCTTGCCCTCACTTCTTGGACAGCCTTTTTATGGCTACTTCTTGATTTTCTGAAAAAATCCCCTGTAGTGGAAGAAAAAATCCAACAAAAAGAGAACCAACTCCTTACCAATCAGAATTACGGGGAAACTTAATTAAGAGAAGTCCAAAAGAAATTATCATGCTTATGGAGAACAATGTACTTGTATTAAGAGCTCAACACCAAAGTGTCACTTTATAAACAGGGCCAAATCCTCCCTCTCCCAGTTTATTAGCTTCAGTGAAGTTGTTTGTTACAGCTAAAATTCTCCCTAAAGTGAAGAGTGGTAGCTCTGTATCATTCTTTGCAGATTCAGCACTCAGACTGCCTTCCGCGCTCTCTGTTTCATTCTTATTGTTAGAGCATCGTTTGTTTGGAACACAAGAATCTGTGCCCCTGCACACGTGTGTGTATGTGTTTGTGTGAGTGAGAAAGAGAAAGAGAAGCACTACCTTTCATTCCCAAGTACTTCTTCCACAAGAAATAGCCAAAACTATTGTAATCAATCCCGCTGTTGCTGAGGCTATTCCAATTACAAGGGACTTTTTCGATAAACTATGAGAATGACTCTTACTACCTGCCAAGAAAAGAAAAGGAATGATCTATAAAATGATGGCTTTAAGTAAGTGTCATTTCTGGCCAACTATTGTTGTCTGCTATGATTTCTATTTGACAAATCCATGCACAAAAAAAGAAAAGAAATTCATCAAACTTACCTAGTTGGGAGCCATGAATATAAACATCTTGCCCAAAAGTTTGATTCTCTACAAGATCCATCAAGTCACCAAACCATGTCAGACATCTTATATTGTTTCCTTGTGTCACATTTGCATATGCATAAGCATAAGCTGTGCAAGAGCAGTTCTGAAGGCATTTAGATTCACACTCACTCATACTCTTATTTTCTAAAGAACAGCCTGATCTGGTAGTTTCAACTTCGAAATCTTTGAAAACCCATCTTCCTTATTACACATCAATGCTTTCTCTCGAACACAGCCACCAAGCCAACCCCCCATATCCCATTGTTTTTGGAATTTTGGCCTAAAACCTGTCAAACACTTGCATGGTGATGAGAGGGTTTCATTTTTACAACTGCAGGCACCATATGGACCACAACGAGCATAAAAATCACATTGATCAAAAGGCTTCCTCCACCATACAAACCATGTTTCACTGTGTTCCAGCCACAGAAGCAGCTTAATCTGCCCAGTTGGATTCAATATGACCCTCAGTTTGGTTGAACTATCTAAGACACCATAAGTTAGATAAACCTCATCAGCCTCAAAGTTGTAAGTAAGGAAATAAGTGGTTCCATTTGAAGATGGAGCATTTTCACCATCAACATCAAAGGCTGTGTTTGTCTGTTTGCCAATGTACAGATCACTTCTCCAATATGGAGCATTTTCCTTCCAGAAAAAAGTCTGGCCAGGCACTTTAGGATCAATGCCTAAGGTAAACTTTCCGGGTTGCATCATTAAGTGCTGCCCAAGATGTAAGACCTCTTTGTTGGCCCGTCCTTGTATTCAAGCTAAGCTTCATGCCAGGCAAAAATGTATCAAAGGGATGATCGAAGCTCTGCCACAGAGTATCTTCTCCAAGTCTAAGTTCAAGATTTCCATTATCCATTAGTACACCAGTTGTTGCCTTCATAGCTGAAGCAGGTACCGATATATTAGAAGACCAGATAACTTTTCTAGTCCTATCCATGATGTCAACAGCACTACATTCCCATCATCGCTGAGCGTAAAGACACCCCGGAGAATCAAGAGGGGATTCCCTGTTAGCAACCCATACTATTGGTGTCTTTGGGATTTTGTTGTACCATATACGTACCAAGGAAGTATTTGGTAGAATTTTCAGGACTGAAGAAGCCTAATGCAAAGGTCCCAACAGAAGAAATCAAGTTCAGGTTTCCGATGATAGATTTTCCTGGTTGCAAATTGTCTTGGCTGGTACGAATTGGCAAGAAAAGAGATAAAAGTAGCAAAGCAAGAGAAAGAAAGAGCCACTCCATTCAGAGCCAGAGAGACAGAGAAAGAAGAAGACTAGTGAAAGTTCACACCATAATTGTGTTTCTTCCATTCAAAATAGGCATCATATGTTTCCTCTAAAGCACCTCAATTGCATCAATTGTTAAGTCCAAATTAATGTTCAATAGTAATATAAATTTGTTGGGACAACAGGAGCTGAGGCGGTTACCATTTATCATGTCCAGATGTACTTTTCCCAAGGCACTCAGGCCAAAGTATGAATGAGATCACCTTCCATTATAGGACAAAAAAAGTCTGACTTCTAGAATGATGCCTCCCTTCTACCACCTAATTTTGGCTAGCTTCTTTGTTCTGGTTGATTTGTACTGGCTGGTTGTTTAGTTTGAAACAGAGAAAATAAAACTTTTGGAACCCAATTGACTTGTGCGTTCACATAAGTTACATTAGATTGCTGCAATTTGGAACAGGGTAAATCAGATGAGCCTTGCTTCTTGAACATCAGTGCTTGTACCCAAAAGTTCCAAATATTACAGCACCGACAAAAATTACACTTACAGATTATAAGCAAAGAAACACGAAAAATGAATCATAAAATTTCATGCTGATGCACTAACTTGACAACAATGATGAAGATAAGAGGCATAAGAACTGCTTTGGTTACCGACCATCTTCTAATGTGACGGTTAACTCATTGTTAGAGAATGTTTCAGGTTTGCTTGAAGAAGAAGCCCTGCTACTTCTAGAAGGGCATCGCCTAACAATAAAGGCGGGTTGTTTGGGTGCTGGAATAGTTGCAGTTTCACTGCCTAGCATGAAAACTACTTGTGACATGGTTGGGCGATCACCGGGATCTTCTTGTACACATAAGAGCCCAACATTGACACATTTTAAGTACTCATCCTTGTTGCAGCTTTGACAAAGTGTCTGGTCCAGCAAATCCAGTGCCTTCTCTTCTTTCCATAAATGCCATGCCTGGTATGAATTTACAAAATGTAAGGTGTAAGGATGAAAAAGATATCAGTTGGGGATGAAACGTTTCAAGCACTCACATAGCCTAGAAGACTCAACGACCTTTCAGGCTGAAAAAATCCTGTGTTCCTTTTCCCACTGATGATCTCAATTACAACTACGCCAAAGCTAAAGACATCAGATTTAACAGAAAATAACCCATCTAATGCATACTCTGGAGCCATATAGCCACTGCAATACAAGAATTGTAACTTGAGTCAGTGAATTCATATCTGATTGTTCACCGTTGTCTGGAGGTTACTGATTGAAAATTGAGCTACAAATGATGCTGATAAAAAGGTTAAATACCATCTGCTTCAAAAAAACTTACTATGTTCCGACTACTCTACTAGTGTTTGCTGCAGTTTCGTTGCCTCCGAAGATCCTAGCCAAACCAAAGTCAGAGATTTTGGGGTTCATGTCCTCACCTAGAAGAATATTGCTGGTTTTGAGATCTCTATGAATAATCCTTAACCTAGAATCTTGGTGAAGATAAAGAAGCCCCCGAGCAATTCCCAGAATGATATTGAAGCGCATATCCCAGTTCAATAGCATGCATAGTCTTCGGTCTGGCAAGGTATTATAGGGCATTACATGTAAGTTAGTTTCTTTCAATGAATATAGATAGGGTCATATGAATGAAAAACTCTAGAAATATAACTAGAGGCTAACCAAATATGAATGAGTCCAAGCTTTTGTTGGCCATATATTCATAGACCAACATCTTTTCATCTCCCTCAACACAATAGCCCAAAAGTCGAACCAGGTTTCGATGTTGGAGTTTGGCAATCAACAGAACCTCATTTTTGAATTCCTCTAATCCTTGTCCTGAACAGCTTGAGAGCCTCTTGACAGCGATTTCTTGTCCTCCTGGAAGCTTACCCTGATAGTACAATCCGAATAAAGTTACATTATTTACTGGTAACAATTAATATTGAACCATGATGTCTGCTAAAGGTACATTACCTTGTAAACAGGGCCAAAACCCCCTTGTCCAAGTTTATTTGCATTGGAGAAGTAATCTGTAGCAACCAGTATGCTTTCCAACTCGAAAAAGGGTACATCAAAGCCTTCTGTATCATCACCTTTAAATCGGCCTGATTCGATCAAATTTTTAACTTTTCTCTCACTGTCATATAAGTAAAGCGCTGAATTCTTATGAAGGATTTCCCTGCTTCCTAAATTCAAAGAATTAATACTATTAGATCCCAACGATTCATACTAACGAAGCTGCAAATAACTTAATTCATGTGGTGGATATATTACTAGTTACCTTGTCCCTTGACCCTCCTCCTTCTCCATAATAAGTATAAATGAAGGTACTTGAGAGAAGAGCTAGAACAGCTACACTTATAAAAGTTACTGCAATGATTAGAGCCAAGGTCATCTTTCCTCGCGCACCAGTTTGCCTACTGTAACCAACTTCTGCAAAAATTAGAGAAGAAAAGGGAATCACTATCTTCTGCAATTAAAAATAATAATTTTATCTAGTTTATGGTATATTTTTGGAAGACACGTAAGTAGTAGACCTGCAAACTTGACTCTAGATTTATAAGAGTTGCATTCGTTCTCATTTGAACACATATCATTCAATATCACTGCTCTTAGCAACAGAGTACTAATTCATTCTTTATCCATAGCCATAAAAGGGAGCATCATTCATGGCACATTTTTGCATGCATAGTATAAGTATGGTTACCCTGAGTACAATTCAAAGTCTGGCTATCCCATTTAGAGTTTGTGGTGCAGAGGCACCTCTTCTTCCCCTCTTGAGAAGCATTACAAGTAGAATGGGGCCAGTCCTTGCAGTCTGTGGATGAAGAACAAGGTGGTTCCAATGGTGGATCCCATGAAATTTCAACTTCATCTCCTGCTTTAAATGAAAAATCAGAACTAAAGTTGGCCGGATCAGCATTGCACCTGTTGATCAAATGAAAGGGAGATGATTGGTTGAGCTGCAGGAGATTTTTGTTTCTACAGTCATCTGCATTTTTGGCTTGGATGACAAACTTTCTTGTATCCGGATCGATGCTTGTGACTTGGTAGGTGCCAGCGGGTGCCTCAAAGCTAACCTGGCCCGTGGAGATGTTGCACTGAAAACTATAGTACGTAAGATCACCACAATTTGGTCCAGTGCTTAAGGGATAAGGGATCATGTTTGTACCACAAGTTTCACAATTCCTCGATGTTGATTCTGCAAAAATATAATTACTTGAAATTTAAAAACAGCATTTGGCCAAGGTGATTATCTAACAAAGGATGTTGGGTTTTCAACTTGCCAACTCCTCATGAATAAGATGAAAACCAAAATGGGATCCAAGACAGGAAAAGGGTAAACCACATTGCATTGAATAATCATGTTAGTAACTCTCACAGTAGTGGTCATTGTTGTAAATAAAATAGCATACATGCTCGGAACCAATTATAACTACTGTGGGTTTTCATAGTTCTTTTTCTTAAGAACCAAATTATGTTTAAATAAGTAAGAGAATCATACCTATATCTGAAACTGCTACACGAACCTGTAGGTTCCGGCCACTGTCATACTCCTCTTGAAGATTGCTGACATCCTGTGACCAAATCCAACATGTAGAACTACTACTTCCACCCCTTCGTGTGATTTCAACCTCCTCGTATAAATAAGCTTGGCACTGGCAGTTGTTGAGGCACTCTATTTTGCATTCCATTTCACTTTTGGCATTAAACTGAGAATCCGGGTTTCCCACCTTCATCATCTTTAAACTCAAGAATATGTCACTCACAGCACCATTGCCACATATTCCTGACTTTCTACTACATCCAGCTGAATAATCTCCTCCATTCCAATTTTCTGGTGAACTAGGCTTGAAACCGGGCAAACACTTGCAAACCAAACCATTTTCGCTCTTGCAACTACCAAAATTACCACATGCATTATACACACTGCAGCTATCTCTAGGATCTGCCCAGATTAAAGACCAAACCTTCTCAGTATCCCACATCAGATACTGAATTTGGCCCAAAAAACTCATAACCAGTCTTGTATCATTGTATAATGATGAGGTGAGATATGGCACAGAGTCATTGTGGATTGTGGTAGAGGTGAAATTTGATAGCAAGTAAAGAAATGCAGAAGGCATCTCATCAGAACGAATGAACTTGCCAGCAATTCCGCTTTTCCAGTACCTCATCGATCTTTTCCAGATAACAAAGTGGTTCATTCCTTCTTCATCCTGCTGAAATGTGAAGTTCCCTGTTGCTGGATCGTCATAACTTTTCCATGAAGCCAATACTAAATTTTCATTCATTTTCATGCCTGGAAGAAATGTATCAGTTGGATTTTCAAAACTCTGCCACAGAATTCTCACTGAATGGTTTCCTTGCTCTTGATTGCTCACAATAAGATTGCCAGTGTCCATGAGCTTTGCTGTCCTGTACATTGATGATGATCTCTCAAGACTTGTGGACCAGTAAGTTTTCCCACTACCATCCAATACCTTGAGGTTGCCATCTTCTGCCATAGCAAAAACTCCATGAGTATCTGAAAGTGGGTTGTCTCTATTGGCAACCCACACAACAGTTTTCGGATTCGATCCGCAGTACCATATTCCAACGTATCTTCTGCTGTCAGAGCTTCCATTAGGGGTAAAGAAACCAAGTTCAAATCTCTCTCCTGATGAAACAATAGTATCACCTTGAGTATCACTAATCAAACTGCTAACTGTCATGGTATCTTTAGCAATGCAACACAGAAGAGAAGTGCATAACAAGAATAAGTACAGAAAGTACATACAGAACATGTGATTTACAGACCAACTAATGATGATTATTTTCCTGATCTTTCTTTTGCTTACCATAATGACAGAAGTATCTAGCTAGAACATTTTTCTTAATCTAGGAGGCATACAGTGGAAACTAATCATCAAGTTAATTGCAGAGCCTTTCGGCCAAAGTGCCCTGCTGCTGTTTTCCATTCTCAAAAGTACCCCTAGATGGCTACATTTTACCTTTGCAAGCTGTTAGCATGTGCCAAGAAATAATTGGTTGGTTTGAGTGAAATCTGTTGCTACATTAGTTATTTGAAGGTGACATCTTGTTCAATAGTTGAAAGCAGATGCTTATTAAAATTGAAATGGAGAAAATGAGACAGGAAAATCTGTTGTTGAGAGATACATGATTGCAAAAGAAAAATGAGTCAGGCAACACTATCTAAATCGTATGAGTACAAACAGAAAATGACACAAAAGAAGAAAACACCCAAAAAAAATTGGTAGACTATTTTTTATGAACACAATAATTTTCAACTTAGCTGGCTCCCCTACTCACATAGTCTTCGTTAAAACCCCACATTATATGCTCTTGGATTCTTTTGTAGATTAATGTACGCCATTGGATGAAAGTAAGCTGCAGCGTCCAGGTTAAAGTAATTATCAAAACACAATGTTTCTGCTATAATTGAAAGGGCACTGCTACAATATAGGCTCATTTGGTTCAAAGTTTAGGAGCTTGGGAACGAGTTTAAAATTGCATTCCTATGTTTGATAAGTGCACTCTTGGGAATGCAATTATGCACTCATGGGTATGAACTTCCCCCGGCTCACTATGGGAAATTTTTGCCCCCTCTTGGGATAGCATCTAAAGCAATTTTTTTGGACTAACTTACCCATGTTATTTTAAATACCACTTTTGAATAATTAAAAAATCAAGGGTATTGTTGGAAACTTGATAACTTTTCATTCCTAATATTTCACTAACCAAACATGGAAATGGGAGATAGTTGCATTTCCTAATCCTCATTTCCCAACGTTCCCAAACATGGGAATGAACATTCTCCATTCCCATTTCGTGGGGTTAGACATAGGAAATTTATTCCCAAGAAGTTCAATTCACGAACCAAACCGGCCTAATATGCAATTTCAGTGGTTTAATCAGACCAGATTGAATTATTGGGAAAACAAGCAGGACGGTCAGGTCAAGGAAGGAGGGTAAGATATTGTTAATCTTGTGTCATCTTTTTTCTTGTGGCCCCCTGGCCTTACTTTTTACTTTTCTTCCTCTTTTTGTGAGGAAGAATTTAAGGCATGGGCTACGCGAGTTTCTATATATGAAATAGAAAACAAACATGTGCCATTTTTTTGTTCTCTCTTGATTATAATATAATATGATGATAGAGACCAGAAGACCAAAAGTCGACCTGCATGAGTTTTTTAATGGGTTTATGACACACACAAAGAGGCGCAATAGCTTGAGCTTTTGAATCCATCCAAAACCTTAATTTGGGGAAAAGAGGGAGAAACTTACCAGAGGGCATGTACTTCCTTAATAACCAAAGCTCTGAATTTGTCAATACAGCACACATCACAACCCGTCAGCCACACGCAAACACAACAACCAAAACCTAACCTGAAATATGTGGGAAGCCTTCAAACCATCTGCGCGGGTAGGGAAAACGAACACTGAGACTTTGGATGAAAAAATGGATATTCTTAACTACTTGAGCTGCAAACTCTTTGCTCGAATAATTATTAATTCTTGCGTGTTTGAGTTGACGAACAACTAGAATCTCCTTATATCAAACCTATCATTGACCACAACGAAACCCAAAAAAATAATAATAATAAAAAAGTTTCCAAGTTGATTTCATGATTTCTTTTTTTTAGTCTGCAGAAGAAAATGTTCACAATGAGTCCAATTTGCATACAAAGAGATCAAATAACCCATCATGGGCGGCGACACTAGCTACACCAAATCCTCTCAAACATGGATCACTTTGATCCCTACTTCTTGCAACCCTCATATCATCCGGAGCTTGTTATTGTCTCTCAACTTCTCAATGGAGATAACTACACCACATAGCACCGCACCATCACCATTAGCCTTAGTGCCAAAAATAAATTAGGGTTTGTTGATGGCACCATCAAACCTCTCTCTAAGAAAAATTCCAAATACCCCATATGTCGTCGGTGCAATGATATGGTGACGGCTTGGTTGTTGAATGCTCTCACACCAGCCCTTACTAATAATGTCATTTATATTGACACCCTCGTTGAAGTTTGGAGTGATCTGCAAGATCGATTCTCTCTTGGCAACCTTACTCATGTTTTTAAAATTCTGAGGACTATCGCTGAACACAAACAAGGGCAACAAATCGTTTGTCAATACTACACCAAACTAAAATCCCCATAGGATGAATTGGGTTCTTATCAATCCGTTCCACACTGCACCTGTGGAGCCTTGAAGGTGCTGCAACCGTGAGATGAAGAACAAGTAATACAATTTTTTATGGGTCTCAATGACTCATACATAGCTATCCGAGGCCAAATTCTATTGATGCAATCTATCCCTTCTATTAAGAAGGCTTATTCCATGATTATGCAGGAAGAACAACAACGTGAGGTGGGAGACTACAACCCATCTGACGTCGCAAAGATGTCAAGCCACCCAATCGCTCAAAAAGACCATCTACGGCAAATCAAACATAATCCACTACAAACTTGCCGAAGAAGGACTCAAGTTCACTGATGAGGAGTTTGCTCAACTCAAGTGTTTGCTTCGTGACGGTAAACCTCGTGCTAATTTCACAGGTAAAATACCCTCTTTTTGTGCCATCATTGTCTCATCATCCACCAAGCCTTGGATACTTGATAGTGGAGCCATCGATCACATTGTACCTCCTTCCGGGCTGTCTATTACCACTCATCTCAACTCCACTGTTGATCTTCTTGATGGTTCTCACACCAAAATTAGTGGCCTTGGTTCTTCCTCTCTTGGTCCTAATTTATTTGTTGATGGAGTTGTTTGGGTGCCTTCCTTTCATGTTAATTTACTTTCTGTTAGCAAACTTACATCTCACCTCAACCGTTCCATTCACTTCTTTGCTACCTTTTGTGTTTTACACAATCTGGCTTCGAAAAGGAAGATTGGCCTGGGGAAACAAGTTAATGGACTCTATTACTTGATCATGAAAAAGAACGTCACCGCTCCATCATCCACATCCAATGCAAGGACATGTCACCTCAACCACACCTCCGTTACTCTCTGGCATCAACGCTTAGGTCACCCCTCCAAACTTTTGTTTCAAACAATTCGTGAAATTTTATTTGATTTGCACCATCATTGTGATGTATTTTTCTTAGCTAAGAAAACTCGTTTGCCCTTTTCTTCAAGTTCAATAAAAACTGCTCATCCTTTTTTATTTGATTCATTGTGATATTTGAGGTCCTCACCGAGTTGAATCTCATTCGAGTGCAAGATACTTTCTCACCATTGTTGATGATTACTCACGCTACACTTGGCTTCACCTCATGCACCACAAATCTGACACACAACAAATTCTCAAGAATTTCTTTGCTTATGTCCACAATCACGTTCATTATTCTGTCAAAATTAAAGTGTTCATTCCAATAATGGGACTAATTTTGTCTCAATGACCTCTTTCTTTGATGAACATGGCATCACGTTTCAACGCTCACACCCTTCTACTCCACAACAAAATGGAGTGGTTGAACGCAAACATAGATACTTGCTCAATGTTGGTTAAGCACTTCAATTTCAGGCTCATAATATTCTTGTCCACTTTTGAGGAGAAAGTGTTCTCACTGCTGCCTACCTCATCAATCGCCTTCCCACACCTACCCTCAACAAAAAATCACCATCTTCACCAAATACCACCCACATATGCTTATCTTCGCGTCTTTGGCTGCCTTTATTATGCTACCAACACCAACTCACCTTCCAAATTTGCACTTAGGGCTCGTCGTTGTGTCTTTGTGGGATATCCATTAGGACAAAAGGCTTATAGAATTCATGACCTTTATATACACAAGCTTTTCTCTAGCCATGACGTCATGTTTCATGAACATGTCTTCCCTTACCGCACCTTTCGTCACTTCCACACATTTTCCTAACCCGTTTCCAGACAACTTTCCCTTTAAAACACAATCACAACCTCAAAAAAGTCCAAACCCACAAACTGCCCAAAAACGATCAATCCTTATCCTATTGACATCGATTGTTTTCTGCCCAAGACCACCAAGTCCCTTCCATCATTGAATCGATCGATCGTTCCCTCCAAAATGATTAATCACTTTTTGACAGAGAGCCACACGCCTCTCTCATCTCTGAACCAATCGATCGCTCACCGACACCGAGCATGTCCCTGACCCTCCTCCACCAAAGAACGTCCCTTCCTTTCCACCACTTCGCCGTAGCCAATGTATCTCTCAACCATCCATTCTCTTATATGATTTTCATTGTAATCAAGCTACAAATGGGTCATCATCCTCCAAGAAGTCAGGTACACATTTTCCTTTGTGCAATTGCATTTCTTATACCTTTTTATCTCATTCACACAATTGTTAACAATATTTCAAGTGCTATTGAGCCCATTTCTTATGCTTAGACTACACTTGACTTCATTGGTGTACCGCTACGGGTGTTGAACTACAGGCTCTTGCCCAACAAAACACTTGGTCGTTGGTTCCTCTCCTATCTGGCAAATGTGCGATTGGTAGTCGATGGGTGTATCCAATCAAGTACAATTCTGATGGTTCTATTGAATGTTACAAAGCTCGTCTTATTGCCAAAAGTTTTACTCAATGAGAAGGCCTTGATTGTACAGAAACTTTTTCTCCCGTTGTGAAATTGGTCACCATTCATTGTTTGTTGGCCCTTCTGTCCATCAATGGCTCATTTATGAGATGGATGTTAATAATTTCTTTCTCTATGGTGATCTCCATGAAGAAGTCTACATGACTCCTCCTTCGGGCCTTTGTCGACAGGGGGAGAGTAATTTGGTTTGTCGACTACACAAGTCCTTTATGGTCTCAAACAAGCCCCTCATAATTGGTTTCACAAGTTTTCTGTTGCCATTCAAAAAGCTAGGTTTACACAATCTCTTTCAGATTACTTGTGCTACATCATTTACTGTTGCTTTAATCTATGTTGATGACATGGTGATCACAGACAATGACGAGAGTGCTATATATAATTTGAAGTATTTTCTTTATAATCAGTTTCGTATTAGAGATTTGGGCCATTTGAAGTATTTTCTTGGGCTAGAGATTGCAAGATCAAATGCGAGAATTGCAATCTCCCAACAAAAGTACACAATTGATATCCTCGATGATGCAGGTCTTCTAGGTGCTCAATCAGTAAACTTTCCTATGGAGCACAACATGAAGCTCGCAACCAGTGATGGTGAAGTGCTCAATAATCCATCGCGGTTTAGACGATTGGTGGGGCGATTAATCTACCTTACAATCACTATACCATAGATTACTTATGCAATCAATATTCTGAGCCAATTTATGCATCAAACGACGAAACCATATTTGGATGTCGCTTTACGTGTTCTCCATTATCTGAAAGGTAGTCCACATCAAGGATTACTTTTATCTTAAAACAAGAAGTTGCATTTGATCGGTTATTGTGATTCTAATTGGGCAAATTTCCCTATGACGAGAAGATCCACTTTAGGCTACTGTGTTTTTCTTGGGAATTCACTCATATCCTGGAAGACAAAGAAACAGAAAATGGTATCTTGTTCATCCGCTGAAGCTGAATATCGTTCCATGGCAGTTGCTACTTGTAAGCTGACTTGGTTGCGATCTCTTTTGAAAAATATACGAGTTACAAATCTAGGTCCTGCAAAGTTGTTTTGTGACAACCAAGCAGCCCTTCATATTGCTGCCAATCCTGTTTACCACGAACGAATGAAACACATTGAGATTGATTGTCATCTGGTTCAGAAGAAGATTCAAGCTGGACAGATTACTGCCTCATTTTTCCATCTGTGTCATAGGTAGCAGATTTTAAAAGCCCTTGGAAATAATGCTTTTCACAATCTTTTACGCAAGTTGGGCATTCTTGATATCCATGTTTCAACTTGAGGGGAAGTGTTAGAAATTAACAGAGAGTTTATTTATTTCCTTTTTGTATTGATTGTTATTTACTGTAATTGATTTAGGAGTAGCCTCCAAGTAACCTAGTATTCCTTGTAAGGTTTGCAAATATTTGTATAAATACTTAGTCTTTTGGCTCTATCAATACAATGGAGAAATATTCTTCACAAACACAACCAATTTGACAATTTGTAACCAACAGAAGCACAAAAAGTTACCGCGTAGAATCATCAAGCAAAAGATAAATCAGTTGATCATCATTAGGAAGAAAAAGTTACACTATAAATATATAAAAATAAAAATAAAGAAACCTATGATACATGAAAAGTCAAAAGTTTACTTGAAAAGGATCAAAAGACTAACTACAGCCTCAAACCATTCTTTCATTATCTACCTTCATCCAGAGTTGTAGTTATTTCAGCAAATGTTTCTGGCTTAGTAGAAGAAGAAGCTGTGCTAGAGTTGCCTCTCCTTAGGAAAAAGGCTGGTTGTTTAGGAGTTGGAGAGATTGCAATTTCACTGTCAAGCATGGTAAGAACATTTGACATGGTGGGACGATCAACAGGGTCTTCTTGTACGCATAAGAGCCCAACATTCACACACTTGATGAATTGACTTTTGTCGCAACTTTCATCCAAAGTCTTGTCCATTAGTTCTAAACCCTTGTTTTCTGTCCACAGTCTCCATGCCTGAGAAAATTTTTAAGTTTCAACATGATGTAAAGCATAAAATGGGGATGAAGCAAATAAATGGGCATGAAAGATTCATTCAACAGACTTACATAATTTATGAGGCTGAAAGTTTGTATGGATTGATAAAATCCTGTGTTCTTTTTTCCACTGATTATCTCAAGAAGAACCACACCGAAGGCATACACATCTGATTTCACTGAGAAAGTTCCATCTAATGCATACTCGGGAGACATGTAACCACTGCATCACAAATTATAATAACAGTTCATAAAATATGCAGGCACCAAAGCACTTCCCTCCAAAAGTGTCAACGAATTGAAATTTCAAATTTGTGCTACAATGTATGAAATATCTACTCTGAAATTTAAACTGTCCACACAAAACTTACTAAGTTCCAACTACTGTGTTTGTGTTCGACTCAGTTTCTTTGCCTCCAACAATCCTCGCCAAGCCAAAGTCAGATATTTTGGGGTTCATCTCCTCATCTAAGAGAATGTTGCTGGTTTTCAAATCTCTGTGAATGATCCTCAATCTGGAATCTTGATGAAGATAAAGAAGTCCTCGAGTGATTCCCAAAATGATGTTAAAGCGCATCTCCCAATTGAGAAAGATGCTCTTTGTGTGATCTGGCAAACTTTGCATTATCCATTAGAGAAACTTGGGAGCTCTGGTATTCAAGAAACCATATATCATGCAGTATAAAAATATTGAAATGAGGACTAGGAACAAACCAAATATAAAGAAGTCTAAGCTTTTGTTAGGCATGTACTCATAGAGTAAAATCTTTTCTTCTCCTTTAATGCAATATCCTTTAAGCCTAACAAGGTTTCGGTGTTGCAGTTTGGCAATCAGCACCACCTCATTTTTAAATTCCTGTAAGCCTTGTCCTGAAGCCCTTGATAACCTCTTTACCGCAATCTCTTGATCTCCAAGAAACTTGCCCTGGAAAAAAAAAATCCCCTTTCATCAATTTACAACTAACCAGAATACATGATCATTAATGATAAACAATTTTCTAGGAACAATAACACAACACATAAGTGTTGCTAAGGTGGTTCAATTGCAATGAAATGGAAAACAAGTATTCCTCCATTACCTTGTAAACAGGGCCATAGCCCCCTTGTCCAAGCTTGTTTGCATCTGAGAAATTATCTGTTGCGTTTAGTATGCTTTGCAAATCGAGAAAGGGTACATCTATACCTTTCTCATCTTCTTCCTTGAACTCACTTGTGTCCATCAACTCTTGGACTCGCCTTTCACTATCAAGTTGTGCTCGATTTATTTTATCTAATACATGAAATTGAAGAATATTATTCTCATGCTGTCATTCAAGAGGACCAATTCTGCAGCTGTTCATGCATAGAGTGCATATAGTAAGGTGGTTACCTTGTCTCTTGGTTATCTTTCTTCTCCATATATAAACAGAAATGATGCATGCGAGAAAAATTCCGCTTGTAACAACTGCCACAACTATCAGCATCAGAGACACTGGCACTTTGCTTCTTGGTTGTTCTTCTATTTGTGGTTTTGGTGTCTGTTGAAGATTACCTTCTATAAGAAAGCAAGAGGAAATTCTACATGTGAACTATCATCATGTAATTAGATTATTGAAGTGAACAATCTAAAACGATTTGATGCAGTTATAATGAGCCAATTAAATGATTGGATTTATCAGTCAAATTCTACTTAGTTTCAATTATTTCTATGATTTCTACTCAGACGGACAAGCATTGGTCTCAACATAAATTGATTTGCAGTAAAAGGTTCATGCATCAGCCAATTTTATGCCTAGCCTAACATGGCATTCTCACCTTGAGTACAATTTAAGTTAAAGCCACTCCATTGATAATTGGCATTGCAGAGGCATCTTTTCTTTCTATCTCTTGCTGGACTGCAATTTGAATGTGGCCAACCCCTGCAGTCTGCAGATGTTGTACAGGTTGGTTCCAGCGGCAGCTCCCAACCTAACTCTACTGCAGTAGTACCTCCGGATGAAACTTGAGAACTAAAATTGCCCAGGTGAACATTGCACCAACTGGTCACATTGAATGGAAATGGAGGGTTCAGCTGTTGACTTTTGACTCTGTTTATAGGATCACAATTATCCACTTTTTTGGCTTGGATGACGAATCTTTGTGCACTTGGGTTGATACTAATAACTCTAAAGAAGGTGCCTTTTGGTCCCACGAAGCTAACCTGGCCTGTGATGGGGCTGCACTTGAAACGGGAGTACATGGGGTCACCGCAATCCGGTCCAGTGCTCAGGGGATAAGGAATGATGGTTGTGCCACAAGGCTTGCAGTCTCTTAGGGTTGATTCTGCACAAGATGTAATTTCTTGACTACCACAACAAACTAAAAAAATTTGCATTACCTCATATATGTTCACTTTAATAATCTTACCCTGTTGTGATTAAGTTTAATTTGTTTCTGCACAAGGTGCTTTAAATTCTCACTTTCTTATATCTTTTTTTCACAGAAAAAAAAAGTTTGGTTAAACAAACCAACAAACCAACAACTGCATATATTCCATCATAATCCAAAATAAAAACGAGAAGTGCAATACCTGAATCAGACAAGGCAATTCGAACGGAGATATTACGGCCATCATCTCCATACTCTTCTTGAAGATTATTTAGCTCTGTCAACCATGTCCAGCACAAGGAAGAAGTAGAGGCATCCCTTCTTGGGTTCTTTGCAGCTGCGGCATATGAGTAAGCTTGACACAGGCAATTGCTTAGGCACTCGTTCCTGCATGCTATTTCGTTGTCAACTTTGATAGGTGGGTTTGGTTTTCCCACTTTCATCATCTTCAAGCTCAAGAACGTGTTGTTCTTTTCACATATTTTCGACTGTCTTGCACATCCACCAGAAAAGTCTCCTGATTTCCATTTCTCTACAAACTGGGGACTGAAACCCGGCAAACATTTGCACTCCCGCGGTATATTGTTGCTGTTACAGCTGCCAAAGTCACCACAAGCATTAAACTCACTGCATCGATCCTTTGGCTCCCACCAATCCACATTCCACTGCTTTGTGTAGGTAAGAAATTGCAGCTCCCCAGTAAAATTCATCACCAACCTTGTATAATTGTATTCCAATCTTGTTAGATTATTAGGAGAGACACCTCTCATGCGGAAATTTGATAACATATAAGTTATAGGAGGAGGCATTTCAGCTGAGGTGGAAAACTCACCTGGCTCTCCACTTTTCCAATAAGGAATTGATTTTCTTGAGATAACATACTGATTGTCTCCTTCTTGATCTAGCTTGAAGGTGAAGTTTCCAATTCCTGGGTCATCTTGGTCTCTCCATGAAGTCAATTCTAAGCTTTTATCCATCAGCATCCCAGGAATGAATGTATCAGTTGGATTTTGAAAGCTCTGCCACAAACTTTTTTGCACTGCCAGCCGATCATCTTCACCATCATCACTGAACAACACCAGGTTCCCAGAATCCATAAGCCTCACCGTCAAATTTGAGGACTTGATTGGTTCAAGCCCTGTTGACCAATAAGACTCATCATCAGTAAAACTATCCAACACTTGGAGGTTACCTTCTTTGATTGCAAAAACTCCAGTGCTAGTTAAATTGACAAAAACTGGTTTTTCTCTGTTAGCAACCCAAACAACTGTCCTTGGATTCAGATTGTGATACCAAATGCCAACATAGCTTTCTGCAGATGAATTTAAAGGAGTAAAGAATCCCAGTTCAAATTTTTCTCCAGCCGAAACAAGAGTTTCTGATTTGACGCCTCCTCGAATTGGAGTGTCATACGTAAGTGTATCTCTAGCACAGCAAAGAGGGTGCCCAGAGCACAGCAAGAGTAACAATGCAAACCATGTAATGCTGCAACTTGTTCTTGCAATCCTCCTTCTTCTGCAAACCATCATCAGAGTTGAGTGTTACAAAAATGGCCTGGTGATCTTCACCATTAGCACTAAGCTACAAGTACATTATCTCTTCCTAAAAAATAGATAACTCTTTTTCCGCCCGCAAATTCTGTCCCACAAGCCATTTTCGTGGTTCATTTATCAACATGCAATTTTACTAATTACATCAATACACAAGGTACTCTTCACTATGTATGTATCAATATTGACTAAAAGTTGTGCGTTATGGACTCAACTGAATGATTGAAAAAAAGTAGCTGGCCCAATGTTTAGGTCTAGGTCGTCTGCTTTTATCTCTTCTTTTTTCATGTGCCCACTACTTTTATTGTTTCTTTGTCTCTTGTTTTGTTATGTGGAAAATTTCTATCTTCTTCTTCTTTAATTCCTGGTCACTTATTTTCTTACCTTCCTTTCTTCTTCTTCTTCTTTAGAGTGCAACCAATTAAAAGAGGGGACAAGTTAAAGCCGCTATCAGTTTTGTTTTTTTAGTATTGAATTATTGTGGGACGGGCTGTTGGAAATTTAATATTAACTAATATTAATTTTCCTATTTGAATGAAAATTAATCAAATTCATTGGGTTAAAGACATCTTCACATGGGGGGTGACAACTCTTCAAACCAAGGGATGCATTGTTTGGAGTGACAACTCTTCAAACCAAGGGATGCATTGTTTGTCTTTTCATATTGGGATGCCTTTTTGGAAATTGTATTTCATCATCTATAAATAGAACAATCCTCCTGCAGTTTTATTCATTCAATTTAATTCTCTACATACAGACTTTCATATATAGAGAGCATTAGAGTTTTCATAAAGAGAGGTTCCTGCATAATTTGGTTTAAAGTTCCTTGTGAATTGCAGTGCTTCTTTCATAAGGAGGGGAGTCGTTGTATCCTGGGAGGCGAAAGCTAGTGAACCATAAGCACCAGTGTGGAACGTAATTCGTCTTAAGGTCAGAGTGTCCAACACTTGCCTCAACTCAATTATTCAGGTTCTTCTAATCCATATTATGTGATTTTTTGTTGTGTATGTTTGTAAGCATGCATTAATTTTTTAAGCATGAATTGAATGATTATTTCTGAATTTCTGTGTAAAATATGGCAATTGTACCCATTTTTTCCAACACAGGCATCACCTATGCATGAGCAAACGCTACTGTCCACATTCTTTTCTTTTCCAAAAATCCTTTACGTTTTGTTTGGCCCACCATTGTTGTGTTGTCACAGGGAAGCCACATTTAGCCCGATCCGTAGAGGTACTTATCAAAGATGAAGAATGCACGTTTTCATCACGATGTTGCTCTTGATATTATTTCTTTATCTGAATTTTCTTTTCCGTTTGAGCTAGAGCTATCATATGGTATAGAGTTCTCTTTGTCTTCACCATCAGACTTTACCATGCTCCTTTTTTTAATTTTTAAAAAAAGTTTCTTAATCTTAGGCATGAATGCCATGTTTGATATTTTTCTTTTGGTTGCATGCTTCCTTTATATTTTCATCTCTCATCTTATTGAGCTCTGGTGCTTTAATCATTTTGAGATGATATGCTTTACTCAATACTGGCATATGCCTTATTTCTTCGTTAATATTTATGGCATTTTGTAGGTTACATGACTTTCATTGTTATTTCATATTTTCATACAATTCTAACCTTATCATGGTTTAGTTTATTTATTTATTTCTCTAAGCATGATTTTAATTAATTATTATATCTTAAGATGAGTTTGTATTATACAAAAGATCAGGGCCTGAACTTCCTCAATCCTTTTACTATTACTAGATCAAGGCCTAAACTTCCTTGATAGAATTAGAATCTAAAGATCTTTGATTCTAAAGAATTTCAACTTGGGTAAAGTATAAAAATGGGGTTGTAAAATAAAGGGTATGGATATGAAGGATTCAACAGCACACTTACATAACTTATGAGGCTGAAAGTTTGTTGGGATTGATATAATCATGTGTTCTTTTTTCCACTGATTATTTCTAGAAGAACCACACCGAAGCTAAACACATATGATTTTACTGAGGAAGTTTCATATAATGCATACTTCGAAGACATGTAACTAGAGGTGTCAAACGGACCGTATCGTGCCAGCCGGGCCCATTTAAATTCGCACCACTAAGTTATTCGTGTTGGGTCATGCCGTGCTATTTAATTAATAGGGTCATGCCGTGCTGGCCCATTTATTAAAACTGGCCCGAAGTCCAAGTACACATTGGGCTGTGGCATGCTCATAATCGGGCCATGCCAATGCTTGGGCCCAAGCACCCATTTAACTTGATTTTTTTTAAAGAATGGTAGACTCTATTTTTTATGAACACAGTTCTTCAATGTCTTAGTTAAAACCCCACATTATATGCTCTTGTATTCTTTTGTAGATTAATGTCCACCATTGGATGAAAGTAAGCAGCAGCTGCCATGTTTTTATTTTTATTTTTTTAGTACAAGTCATAGTCTAAACTATATGGGAGAGGGGTTTTTCACACTAAAACAACCAAGATGTCATGGAATTTCAAACTTGATACCTCTAATCTGCAAGTCAATGCCTTTTCCACTAAGCTAAACTCCATTTGCAGCAACTACATGGGCGAAGCCACACTGGGACCAGTGTGGTCCCAGGCCCCCACTCAAGTTTTTTTATTTTTTTAAAGTAATATATTGTTATGTATTTCTACATGTATATTATTTCAAATATTTTAGGTTTTGATATGTACCCATATTTGTTGTGTTGAACCTATTAACATTAAGGCACAAGGAGGTGTTTCAAATTGCCTTTTGCTCAACTGGTGGTGGTGCACTCTAGGTGTACAGATTACCTTATTTCCACTTTCAACATTGAAGTAAATGTCTTTGTTCTTTTACTTTCATTTATTTGTATATTACTCCATTTACTTAAGTTTACAATGTAAATAAAGAAGTACCCCCTATTTGGATTCAAATAAAAATACTAGAAAATCAAATTCCCACCAAATCAAAATATGAAAAATCGGTTTTAGTGCAAAATATGATTTAGGCTAAAAATGATGGCTCATTAAGTCAATATATACTTCAAAGCTTTCTTATTTGAAGTATAAGGAATAAAAGACGCCAAAAATTATCTTGATAAAATGATTATTCTGAAAAACCATTTTTCATACTTAGTCAATATTTTTACATAAAACATTTTTTTTTCATGTATGATCTGAATGCATGAAGAGACCTAAGGTTTTTTTTAGTTTGAGAATTTTTTATTTTTTCTTTCTATTAGGTTTAATGGGGGGAAAAGCTTTAAAGATATTTGCTAAATCACTACTCTTTGTCTATCTCTTGCAATTTTTCTTGCTTAGAATGTATTTGTCTATCCCTTTGTTGAGGACAATTATGATTGCAACCAATAAGCAATATAAATCTTGACATATGTGATATATATATATATACTATTTTTCGTATGATTTGTGAGTTCAAATTTTTTATTTTTTATAATTTATAAAAAGCCCCCACACATATAAAATCCTGATTTCGCCACTGAACAGCTGCCATGTTAAATGTAATTACCAAAATACAATGTCACTGCTATAATTGAAAGGCCACTGCTACAATAATACGCAATTCGAGTGGTGTCTAATCAGACCAGATTGAATTATTGGGAAAGCAAGCAGGGCATCCAGGCCAAGGAAGGAGGGTAAGATATTGTTAATCTTGTGTCATCCTTTTTCTCTTGTGGCCCCTTGGCCTTACTTTTCTTCCTCTTTTTGTGAGGAAGAATTTTAGACATAGGCTACGCGGGTTACTATATATGCCCCTCTTTTGTGGCCCTTTTTGGTTCTCTCTTGATTATAATATAATAGGATGATAGAGACCCAGAACACCAAAGTCGACCTGCATGAGTTTTTTAATGGGTTTATGACATTATAAAAAATAAAATAAAAAAGGCGCAATAGCTTGAGCTTCTGAATCCATCCAAAACCTTAATTTGGGAAAAAGACGGAGAAACTTACTAGAGGGCACGTATTTTTGCTTATTTGGAGGTTTCTAATGACAAACCAAAGCTCTGAATTTGTCAAAGCAGCACAACCCCTCAGCCATACATAAACACAACAACCAAACCTAAACCTAACATCCGCAGGGAAAGCCTTCAAACTATATTCTGCACGGGTGGGGAAAATGAACACAAGACTTTGGATGAAGAGATAAATATTCTTAATCACTTGAGCTATAAATTCTTTGCTTGAATAATTATTAATTGTCTCATGTTCGAGTTGACGAACAGTTGAATCTCCTTATATCAAACCTATCATTGACCACAACAAAACTCCCACACAAAACAGAGTTCCAAGTTGATTTCTTTATTTTTTTGGTCTGCGGAATAAAATATACGCAATGAGTCCAAGTTGCACATTGCAAAAAGGTCAAATATTTGTGACCGACAGAAGCACAAAACGTTACCGCGTAGAATCATCAAAGCAGAAGAAACATAAATTGATCATCATTACGAAGAAAAAGGTACACTTAAATATAAACAAAGAAAACTATGATACATGAAGAGACAAAAGTTCACTTAAAAGGATAAAAAGACTAACTAGTAACTACAGCTTCAAACCATTCTTTAATTATATACCTTCTTCTAGACTTGTAGTTATTTCGGCAGTTGTTTCTGGCTTAGTAGAAGAAGAAGCTGTGCTGGAGTTGTTGCCTCTCCTTAAGAAAAAGGCTGGTTGTTTAGGAGTTGGAGAGATTGCAATTTCACTGTCAAGCATGGTAAGAACATTTGACATCGTGGGACGATCAACGGGGTCTTCTTGTACGCATAAGAGCCCAACATTGACACACTTGATAAATTGATTTTTGTTGCAACTTTCATCCAAAGTCATGTCCATTAGTTCCAAGGCCTCGTTTTTTGTCCACAGTCTCCATGCCTGAGAAAATTTTTAAATTTCAATATGGTGTAATCCAAACAATATAAAAATGGGGTTATAAAATAAAGGGTAATTACAATTTTAGTCACTGAAGTTAGGGTCGAATTTAATTTTGGCCACCAAAATTTTAATTTTTCGATTTTTATCACTTTATTTGCAGCTGTTAGCAAATCAAGTCATATGCTTCGATTTTGTCAGTAACATTAATTAATATTAAATTATAAATAAATAAAATTTAATTATTTTAATTAGGGCAAATTTGTCATTCTACAAGGCAAATTCCTTAGAAAATTAAAAATTTTAAAAAAAAAATTTTAAAAAATTATAAAAAGAACGGAAGGTGGGTCGTGATAAAGAGAAAGAAGGTGACCTTGCTTTTGGTACAGAAACATGGTTGTAAAAAAAAAAAAAAAAAAAAAAAAAAAAAAAAAAAAAAAAAAAAAAAAAAAAAAAAAAAAAAAAAAAAAAAAAAAAAAAAAAAAAAAAAAAAAAAAAAAAAAAAAAAAAAAAAAAAAAAAAAAAAAAAAAAAAAAAAAAAAAAAAAAAAAAAAAAAAAAAAAAAAAAAAAAAAAAAAAAAAAAAAAAAAAAAAAAAAAAAAAAAAAAAAAAAAAAAAAAAAAAAAAAAAAAAAAAAAAAAAAAAAAAAAAAAAAAAAAAAAAAAAAAAAAAAAAAAAAAAAAAAAAAAAAAAAAAAAAAAAAAAAAAAAAAAAAAAAAAAAAAAAAAAAAAAAAAAAAAAAAAAAAAAAAAAAAAAAAAAAAAAAAAAAAAAAAAAAAAAAAAAAAAAAATCACCGTCGTTAAAAGTAATACCCTAAACTTTAAAACCATAAATTATATATGTGTAAAATATGAAAACCTCAGCAAATTGTTTTTTCTTTTATAATATGAAAACCTCAGCAAATTGTTTTTTCTTTTATAATATGAAAACCTCTGCAAATTTTCAGGGAAAAAAAGGATGTATATTATAGACAAAATTTGTACATTATATATTATAGACAAAATTAGTACATATAAAATATCAAGTGTTCCAAAAATCCTCTAATCCATATGAAGGCAAACAAACTCTGCCCATTCTTTCCTGACTTCATCAATGGCTGCTTGGGGGTATGGCGCTTGATCTTTTCCCTTGGCAAACTGCAATCCATAAACAACGATTATTAAGCTTTACAAAATAAAAAGAAATTCAGTCACAGACGACGTTTTTTTTATAACCGACGTAGTCTATCGATTCAACGACGGTAATTTTAAATGACCGTCGTTGATAATACAAAAACCAATAAAATGTTTCTGAAAATTTTTTCTTACCTTCTTCTCAAACTCCAAGGAAGGATCCATGATGATGTCCCTCATGAAGCGCATGACATAATACCCGCATTCGACACTGCTGGGTTGCTTTGGTGTGCCTGGCAGAGTTTTCCAAATTGGTGCTTTACGGCCTGGTCTGCCTATGTGGGAATTATAAATTTTTAAAGCACTGTTCACGATGTTTTTGCCCTCCTCATCCACCACACGATTTCCAGGCAGAGGATCCAGAAAATAGACGGTTTCCCTCTTTGCCCTCACAATCAGCAAGACCCAATGACGGCTGCACAAAAATAAAATAAAAAACGACGGTTATTTATAAAAACCGACGTATTATATAGTTTCACACGACGTAAGAACTTAATCATCGACGTGATTATAAATTTATCACGACGAGAATTAACTACCGACGTGGTTAGTTGTTTCAAACGATGGTATAAATAAATAACCGACGTGGTTAGATGTTTCAAACGACACAGAATTAGTTAAACAGTTTTATAAGTGAAAATCATACAAACAAAATCCATTTAAGGAGACTAACCCTGGATTGTAAGGCATCATGAAAATCTGTTCACCATCTGTTTTCTGAAGTCGACTGGCTACAATTCGTGATCTGTCAGTTAGTGACCCAGCGTTGGCACTAACTTGAGCAGGGTCGATAAAGCCAACCATGCTGCACATATTTGCTTCTCTCAAAAGATCATATAAGCACCTAAATATATAAAACAAACGACGGTTATTTATACACAAACGACGTATTATATAATTTCACACGACGAACTGAAATAGAAACAGACGTGATAACTAATTTATCACGACGGTAAAAAAGAACGACGTGGTTAGTGATTTAAAACGACGCAATAATTAAACAACCGACGTCTTATGATATAATGTTTGATATTTGATTAGGACAAACCTCATATATACTGCAACCACAGTAGCCCCAATTTCTTCCATGCCTGCAAATTGTGTAATATCTTCATGCAAGACGAAGGTACTTCGATCTGCACCAAACACCTCCTTCTCAATGTTGAAGGTCATGATCTTCCCCTGTGGCTTTAGTGTAGTTTCCACATAACCACAAAGGGATTGTAAGGAAGATGGCACCTCCACATTTGAATAATCGAGTACTTCATCACCCTGTTTAAAGAAATAAAGCAAAATAAATTGTTGTGGTAATTCATTAAAAACGACGGCTTAAATTAAACAACGTCGTCTGATTATAATTTAAACGACGGTAATTAAATACCGTCGTTTTAGATTATTTATTACGTCGTAGAAAATAAATTCCGACGTCTAATGTTAAAACAAACGACGGTTTAAAGTAAAAATATTGACGTCTGAAATGTGAAAAACAAATTAAAAAGGCAAAGTTATGAGAATATACCTCCTCGTCATGCTTTTCTTCATCTTGTTTTTCTTCTTTCTTCTCTTCAACATTTGTGTCTTCCTCTTTGCCTTCATCTTTATTCTCTTTTTCTTCTTCCTTCTTCCCTTCATCAATTGTTTCTCCCATCTTCTGTTCATCTTTATTTTCTTCTCTCTTCTCTTCATCTTGATTATCTAAAGCCCCAGATTTCTGTTTTAAATAATAAAGAAATATATATATAAGACAGATTGTACAGAGAGTAAAAAAATTAAACCAAAACGTCGTGGTAAGGCATAACATAAGACGGTATGTAAGAATTATGGACGTCTTAAAATTATTAAACGATGGTAAATAATAAACGTCGTGGTAATTTTATATCACGTCGTTGAGGACAAAAACCGTCGTCTAAAAGCCACAAAGTACGACGTCTAATGGCGTGTAAAACAAGTAAACTAAATACGACGTGGTATTTAAATAAACACGACGGGTTATTTATAAAATCGTCGTGGTATGGTTTTAAAACGACGGGTTTATTCATAATAACGACGTCTAATGTTAAAAAAAAACAGGGAATTCAAAGTTCAGTTATGTTACCGTTTGTTCTTGCTGTTCCCCATTTCTGGCAGTATCATCCTCTAAATGTAGGGATCTCACTTCAGCCCCAGAACAGCTTGCTTTATCAGACATTGGATTCATGGGACTTGTTTTCGGTTTAAGCATGCTTGGATCAAAATTGGGGATGAGGTGGGAAAGCTGACTTAGTAAATGTTCCCTCTCAGCCTCTACTAATTGTTTGGTTCTAGCTTCCATCTTCTTAGTCTCTTCTTGAAGGACAATTCTTACACTTTCCTTCAATTGATCAGCAAACTTCACCCTTTGTGGTCTAGGTAAATTGAAGAATTGCCTAGGGGAAATCCCAGCACCTACCCCTCTTACTCTCCCTGGATGCTCGGGACCCAAAGCCATGGTCAACACATCATTACTGCCAGTTATACTCAGACTGCCTTCAGCCACTTGTTTTTGCAAGTCATCCTAAAACAAAGACAAAAAAAAAGTCAGCACAAGAAAATACACGACGGTTATTTATAAACAAACGACGCATTATATAATTTCACACGACGGACCAATATAGAAATCGACGTTATAATATCTTTATAACGACGTTAATTAAAACCGACGTGGTTAGTTTCTTAAAACGACGCAATAAATAAACCACCGACGTCTTATGCTGTAATTACAGAAAACAGAGTTGTGATTTCAGATTTAGATATTTCACGACGTTTTTGAAAACATTTCGACGTAGTAATAACATTAACACGACGGAAAACATTAACCACCGACGTCTTATGCTATAATTACAGAAAACAGAGTTGTGATTCCAGATTTATATCTTTCACGACGTTTTTAAAATATTTCGACGTAGTAAAATCATTCACACGACGGAAAAAATATAATATAAGACGTAGTAAGAATTCTACACAGTAATATAAAAATTTAAAACAGAGTGTGTAGGCTTACAATTAATTTTGCTTTCTCTGCCACCTTTGGATCCGGGATGTTACCAAGTTTGTCCTGTCTAGCTTTCTTCCATAAGGTAGATCGATCAATTTCTACCCCAGGCATGGTTTCCTCCAATTGATCCTCCAAACCAGCATATCCTTTTCGAGACAATCGATGATTGTACTCAAGTTTCTCCCTAATCTGTGCATGTTGAGAATGCACAGACTCAAAGTCTTTGGATAACCTTGAAGCTACAAAGGCATCCCATTCTGCTTTCTCTATGAATTTATATACTGCAGGGGGTTGGCTTAATTTCTCCCTCTCATTGATGTATGGAAGGATATAATGCCTCGTCAGTGTAGACTTGAAATCCTTCCATTTCTTGGCAGCAGAAGATAACACCGAGGTCTTGCCCCCTTGACCTACCACAAAAGCCATGTCAACGGCTTCCCAAATCTGCTCCTTTATATCATTGGGGATGTCAGCCCATTTCTTGTCCACAAGTGGGACTCTGGAGCGTGCCAACACACCAATGTAGGACTGCATCTCAGTATGTGCAGGGCCACATCCTTTCCCCCTTTTATTGTACTCAACAACTGGCTTGATTTTCTGCAATTTTCTCTTCACAACACGAGGCATTGTGCTCATACCTCGACCTGACTTTGAATCCTCAGAAATTGTTGTCGTGCTGCTTGGTTCTTTCTCAGCAGATGAAACAAACTTCATCTTCTTCAAGGGCTTGTCTTGAGGAGTTACCATTCCAAGCTCCTTACCTCCATTTTTTTTGGAGCCAGAGTACTTACTTTGGTCTTGAGAAACCATGGTTACAGAATAAACAAACCTGCAAGTGAAAATATTTCGTGAAAAAAATTAGAACACAAACGACGGTTATTTATAAACTACGACGTATGATAAGATTTTACACGACGTAATAACATAACATCAGACGTAATAAATGATTAAGAAGAACAATATAAATGTTTAAACAACGACGAAAAATATTAAATAAGACGTAATAAGAACTTATTACGTCGATATTTACACGACGTCGTGATATTCATATTGACACGGCGTAAATATTAATATAACGTCGTGTTATGTATATTCACACGACGTGAATAATAAGCTACCGTCGTATTTATAAGAAACCAAAAACATTTTTCTTTCTTTGTGAATGTTTGATTGCAGGTTTCATTTCTCTGAAACATGGTTTTTGTTTTTCCTAATTTGATAAAATACAAAGAAAAAAAGCTTTCTCATCTTTTTATAGACGACGGTATCTTATTATAACGTCGTGGTATGAACATTCACACGGCGTCAATAATAAGATACCGTCGTCTATATAAGATACCAAACCCTACTTTCTTTGTCTCTGTATTTTATCATATTAGGAAAAACGAAAACCATGGTTCAGAGAAATCAAACCTGCAACTAAACAAGCAAATAAAAAATTGAATGTCATTTTAAAAACAACTTAGATCAATTTTAAGACGACGCTAGGACGACTGACGAACCGTCGTGGTCTACGTATTTAACCACGTAAATAAAAAGCTACCGTCGTCTTATTTAGTTGAGTTAGTTATGTTCAAAGTTCAATCTTTCCCTCTCTGTCTGTGTATTTTATCAAACTTGGAAAGAAAAAATGATTTTCGCCAGAAAAAAGGTAAAAAGATTTTCAAAACAAAAACAGTATGAGCATGCAATATAGCAACAAAAATAGTGAGAAATGAAAGCTTACCTTTTGCGTGCAATGAAAGCTTTCTCTCGGATTTTGGTGTTTAAGTTCAGAGGCGACGATGAAGACAAGAGGAAGACGATGAGATACTCTGACAGTGCTCTGACAAGGAAAAAAGACGAAAAGTTTTCTCTGGGAGATTGAAATGTTTTCTCGGGTTTGGAAACAGTGCATGTGTAAGTCAGGTAGACGAAAAGTTGTATATGTATACAAACCGTTTCATAGTAATAAGACGGCGGTTTACATAGAACGACGACGTATTAATAGACAAACTACGACGCTAATTTGAACTTATGACGTGGTACATAAATACGACCGTAGTGTTGTAGGTACCGCCGTAGTAAACTCCTAAATAAAAGTCGATAACTCAATATCTCGCGTCATGGTAGAAATATTTAACACGACGGTTGTTTTAAAGTTACGACGTTTATTTTTATAATATACGTCGTTTTATTGTAATATACCGACGTGGATAACACTAAACTAAAACGACGTATTATTTTTCCGACGACGTGGATTCGTTTTTAAACGTCGTTATGTGTAATATAACCGACGTGGATTTTATTTTTTTATTATAAATATAATTCTTTTCCCCTTTTTCTTATAGTGTATTTTTCAAAAACAGTGCCTTATAGATATAGTTTTTTTTCCCGAGGAAATTAATGTTCTAGAATTTGTAAAGTTTCTTTTCTAGGTGACTGATTTAAATCAAATAAAAATATAAAACAACGACTGTTTTTGTTATACCGTCGTCGTTTCTTGTCGTTTTAAGTAAGAATAAAACGACGTAATATATTTGTTACCGACGAGAATTGTTTTTTTTAAACGTCGTTATGTGTAATATAACCGACGTGGATTTGGTTTTTTAATTATAAATAGGGTTTTTTTCCACGGGTTCTTTCAGTTTTAGTATTCGATTAGGGTTTCAACTTCTTCTTGCCCCTTTCTCTGTCTCACCTCATCTCTTGGGAAGTTTTAGGAGTCAATTGTTTGGATGTGAATGTGTGTGTGCGTTTGTGTAGATACACAAACGCACATACATCATTCACTTCCAAAAAATTGTCTCTCTGATTGCAAATCTGTGGCTGCCGTCATGAAATTTTAGGAGGCAATTGTTTGGATGTGAATGTGTGTGTGCGTTTGTGTAGATACACAAACGCACACACATCATTCACTTCCAAAAAATTGTCTCTCTGATTGCAAATCTGTGGCTGCCGTCGTGAAATTTTAGGAGGCAATTGTTTGGATGTTGATGTGTGCGTGCGTTTGTGTAGATACACAAACGCACACATATCATCAACTTCCAAAAAATTGTCTCTCTGATTGCAAATCTGAGGCTGCCGTCGTCAAATTTCAGAGGCAATTTTTTGGATGTTAATGTGTATGTGCGTTTGTGTATCTCAAAGACACAAATACACATACATCATTAACCTCTAAAATATTGTCTTTCTGGTAAGATTATAATGAGCAACAGATCTGGAGTTCCATCTTGTAAGATTTCCTAACCCTTGTGATCTCAGAATAATCTGATTATGTCGGCGGTTTTCTATATAAACCGTCGTGGTTATTTCAATTCTTGTCGTTAGGTAGATCTACCGACGTAGGATAACAAAATCGAAGAAATAAATTTTTAAAAAAATTCTTATTCAGACGACGGTTTAAATATAATTTATGACGTATAAAGTGGACAAATACGACGTTAAATTCTATAATACGTCGTTATATGAAAACCCCAACTTGGTAAGATTGAAAGATGTCGTCGTAGAAATACGAGAAAGACGTCGTTATATTTACCTTTGCCGTAGTTGTACATTAATTTAATACGGCGGTATTTTGTATTTTACCGCCGTGGATTTATTTGTAATTTTACGTCGCCTTATACGAAAACTTGGTCGTGTTAATTTCTGGGTAAAAACGACGGCTTTTTTTGAAACCGTCGTCTTTACTTTCTACGTCGGTCGGTTCATAACTTCCGCCGTTATTTGTTGGCTATGATTTTACCTCATGAAAATCCTATTTCAATAAGACGTCGGTTTTTAAATTAAGTACGTCGTGTTTTTGGAACAGCCATTTGAAACTCCATTTTTTAGTTGTCTAATGTGTTATTACACGGCGGTTTTATAAAACCGTCGTCTTTTAAAAAACAACGACGGTTTTCACGTAGACCGTCGTGTTTTTGTGGTCGTCTTTTTCACTTTTTGTAGTAGTGGTGGTTCAATTGCAATGAAATGGAAAACAAGGATTCCTCCATTACCTTGTAAACAGGGCCATAGCCCCCTTGTCCAAGCTTGTTTGCATATGAGAAATTGTCTGTAGCGTCTAGTATGCTTTGCAAATCGAAAAAGGGTAAATCTATGCCTTTCTCATCTTCTTCCTTGAACTCACCTGCGTCTATCAACTCTTGGACTCGCCTTTCACTATCAGTTGTGCTCGATTTATTTTATCTAAGACATGAAATTGAAGAATATTATTCTCATGCTGTCATTCAATAGGACCAATCCTGCAGATGTTCATGCATAGAGTGCATATAGTAAAGTAGTTACCTTGTCTCTTGGTTATCTTTCTTCTCCATATATAATGCTTGCAAGAAAAATTCCGCTGCAAGAAAAATTCCGCTTGTAACTTGCAAGAAAAATTCCGCTTGTAACAACTGCCACAACTATCAGTATCAGAGACACTGGCACTTTGCTTCTTGGTTGTTCTTCTATTTGCGGTTTTGGTGTTTGTTGAAGATTACCTTCTATAAGAAAGCAAGAGGAAATTCTACATGTGAATTATCATCATGTAATTAAATTATTGAAGTGAACAATCTAAAATGATATGATGCATTTATAATGAGCCAATTAAATGATTGGATTTATAGTCAAATTTTACTTAGTTTCAGTTATTTCTATGATTTTTACTCAGACGGACAAGCATTGGTCTCAACATAAATTGATTTGCAGTAACAGGTTCATGCATCAGCGCAATTTTATGCCTAGCCTAACATGGCGTTCTCACCTTGAGTACAATTTAAGTCAAAGCCACTCCATTGATAATTGGCATTGCAAAGGCATCTTTTCTTTCTATCTCTTGCTGGACTGCAAGTTGAATGTGGCCAACCCCTGCAGTCTGCAGATGTTGTACAGGTTGGTTCCAGAGGCAGCTCCCAACCTAACTCTACTGCATTAGTATCTCCAGATGAAAGTTGAGAACTAAAATTTCCCGGGTGAACATAGCACCATCTGGTCACACTGAATGGAAATCGAGGGTTCAGCTGCTGACCTTGGATTCTGTTTAGATCACAATAATCCACATTTTTTGTTTGGATGGCGAATCTTTGTGCGCTTTGGTTGACACTAATAACTCTAAAGAAGGTGCCATTCGGTCCCACGAAGCTAACCTGGCCTGTGATGATGCTGCAGTTGAAACGGAAGTACATGGGGTCACCGCAATCCGGTCCAGTGCTCAGTGGATAAGGAATGATGGTTGTGCCACAAGGCTTGCAGTCTCTTCCGGTTGATTCTGCACAAGATGTAATTTCTTGACTGTCATAAACGAACTAATAAATTAGCATTAACCTCATGCTTCTGCAATCATGCTCACATGTAAAAGCTTAACATAGAATGTTTCTAGTATATAACACTGACCGCTTAGTTGTGTATGTGTGTAGAGTTTGTTACTCCTACGCACGTATGACATCCCTCAACAATATTGATTGTAGTTAATTTCATCGTAACTGAGGTGCTTTAAACTCTCACTCTCGTACATCTATTTTCAACTATAAAGTAGTTTGGTGAAGCAAACCAACAACTGCATATATTCCATCATAATCCCAAATTAAACAGAGAAATGTAATACCTAAACCAGACAAGTCAACTCGAGTAGAGAGGTTGTGGCCATCAAATCCATACTCTTCTTCAAGATTATTTAGATCCCTCGTCCATGTCCAGCACGAGGAAGTAGGAGTATCCCTGATAGTTCTGTTTACACCTGCAAGGCTGCAATATATGAGAAAGCCAGGCACCTGCAGCTATTTGAGCACGCTTTCCTGCATTGTGTTTCATTTTCAGAAGGAATTGTACGTCTGGTTTTCCCACTTTCATCATCTTCAAGCTCAAGAAAGTGTCATTGCTACATATTTTCGACTCCCTTGCACATCCACCTGAAAAGTCTCTAGCATCCCATTGCTCTGCAAACTGAGGTTTAAAACTGGCAAACATTTGCACACCGACGGCCAATTATTACCGTTACAGCTGCCAAAGTTCCCACAAGCATTAAACACACTGCATCCATATTTTGGCTCCTTCCATAACAAATTCCACTGCTTTGTGTGTTTAATCCAGGTCAGAAACTGTACCTCCCCATTAAAACTCATCACCATTCTTGTATAATTGTAGCCCAATCTTGTCATGGTTGTTGAATTATTAAATATACTTGGAATTTTAGATCTGGCAGTACTCTTGCTGAAATTTGATAATAGATTATAGAGTGGAGGAAACATTCCGGCTGAGCTAGAAAATTTATTATCTGACACTCCACTTTTCCAGTAAGGAATCGAATTTTTTAAGTTAACAAAAGTCAAACAATATGGGTAGAATACTTTTAAGATTTATTTCATTCTCCGAAATGAGGTATTTATAATACAAGGTTACAAACCCTAGCAGGGTTATACTAGGAAATAAGAAAAGTCCTAATTACATAATAACTATACAAAAAGGAAATAAATAAAATCCTAATAGAATAAGAAAGAAATATCCTAATAAAACTAGGATCTCGCTAACACTCCCCCTCAAGTTGGGGCAAAGATGTCACGCATGCCCAACTTGTCAAGCGAGTTGAGAAAGACCGTAGTAGACACAGCTTTCGTAAGAACATCTGCCAGTTGGTACTCGGATGATATAAACGGAAAAGAAATAATTTCAGCATCTAACTTCTCTTTAACAAAATGTCGATCAACCTCCACGTGCTTTGTACGATCATGTTGCACAGGGTTATGCGCAATTGCAATTGCAGCTTTATTATCACAATACAGATCCATGGGTTTCGGGGTCCAAACCCAAGATCTCTCAACAATCTTCTCAACCATAGTAACTAGCACACACCTTGAGCCATCCCACGGTACTCGGCCTCGGCACTAGATCTAGACACCACTTTTTGCTTTTTACTCCTTCAAGTAACAAGATTACCACCAACAAATGTGAAATACCCAGACGTAGAACGTCTATCAGTGACTGAACCAGCCCAATCAGCATCTGTATACCCTTCCACATCTGTATGACCATAATTGCAAAACATTAACCCCTTTCCAGGAGTTACTTTCAGATACCTCAATATGCGCATCACAACACCCATATGATCTTTACTAGGAGAATGCATAAACTGACTCACTACACTCACTGCATATGCAATATCAAGACGTGTATGAGATAAATAAATCAATTTCCCCACAAGTCGTTGATAACGCTCTTTATCTGTAGGGACTTGATCAGGATACAACCCCAACTTATGATTCTGTTCACTAGGTGTATCAATTGGTTTACAATCTAACATTCCAATCTCTGCAAGTAAATCCAAAATATATTTTCTTTGAGACAGAAAAATACCATGTTTAGATCTAGCAACTTCAATCCCAAGAAAGTACTTCAAATCACCCAATGACTTCATCTCAAACTCGGAAGCCATATACTTCTGAAGATTTTGCATTTCTGCCTGATCATCTCCAGTTACAATCATATCATCAACATAAATAATTAAAGCTATCAATTTACCTTTATGACGCTTTAGAAACAAAGTATGGTCTAAGTTACTCTGTACATACCCAAATTTCTTCATAGATGCTGCAAATCTCCTAAACCACGCTCTTGGGGACTGCTTCAATCCATATAAAGACTTCCGCAGCTTACACACAACACCCTCCTTAGAGGTTACAGGAATACCAAGAGAGAGATCCATGTAAATCTCCTCTTTGAGGTCACCATGTAGAAATGAATTTTTAACATCGAATTGTAATAAGGGCCAGTCACGGTTAGCAGCCAAGGACAATAGTACACGCACAGTATTGAGCTTTGCCACTGGAGCAAAGATCTCCAAATAATCCACTCCATAGGTCTGAGTATAACCCTTTGCTACCAATCTAGCCTTGTAACGGTCAATGGAACCATCAGTTTTATGCTTCAAAGTAAACACCCATCTGCATCCAGCAGCTTTCTTCCCTCGTGGCAAAGGAGCTAAATCCCATGTTTTATTTTTGTTCAAGGCATCCATTTCAACATTCATGGCATCCATCCATTTTGGGTTAGATAAAGCATCCTACAGCTTAGTTGCCACACATACACTAGATAATTGACACAAATATGATGCATATGACTTAAACAAACGATGAGTTGTCACAAAATGGCTAATGGGATACTTAGACTTGGCATGTATATCAGGAGAATATTGTACTTTAGGTTTCCCACGAGTGGTTCATGGGGGTAACTGATAAGTTGACACAGGTAGATCATTAGAAATTACCTCACTTGATTCACTATCACGAGTAGATTGGGGCAATGGCAGGGCAGATGGGGGTATTACATCGAACTCATCCATACAAGAATCACTGTCATTATTTTCATATATAGGCAACTGGTCACTTGCTTCAGTGACACCCAGAGCACCTGCTTCATCTCCATATATGGGCGACTGATCGAGTTCCAAAGGGCGATCAGTAGTTTCTTCATAGGGACCATAAGTTTCATCTTCAGATATGGGTGACCGGTCACTTGCTTCAGTGCGACAGGTCGTTTCCTTCCCAAGAGCAGCATCTTCAAACACATCATTCTCCAATCCAAGACTCTCCAATTCACTCCCCCTCTCCCCCTGAATTGAAGAGGAGGGAGATACATAATAGGGCACTTCTTCATGGAAATTCACGTCCAAAGTAACATGCACCTTCTGGGTAGGTGGATAATAGCACTTATAACCTTTCTGAGTAGACGAGTAACCAATAAAAACACATCGCAGAGCACAAGGATCAAGTTTACTCCGTTGATGAGAGTAGACATGAACATAGGCAACACACCCAAAGACTTTAGGGGGCAACTTGGAGACTGAGACAGGGGAAACATGGTCACCAAACACACCATGTGGAGTCTTGAAATCAAGAACCCGGCTAGGAGTACGATTAATCAAATAGGCAGCAGATAAAACAGCATACCCCCAAAGATGATGGGGAACAGACATGTCCAACATAAGGGAGCGGGCAACTTCAAGTAACTGACGATTCTTGCGTTCAGACACACCATTCTGCTGAGGAGTAAATGGGGTTGTCGTTTGGTGAATAATACCTTGAGCACGGAAGAAAGATGCCAAAGTGTTATTCACATATTCACCTCCGTTATCAGTCCGGAATACCTTGACCTGAGCATTAAACTAAGTAGACACCATAGTACAGAACTCTGGAAGGATGGAAGCAACATCATGTTTATTTTTCAGCAAGAAAACCCAAGTGAGTCAGGTACAATCATCAATAAATGTGACGAACCAACGAAATCCGTTCGAAGTAACGCGAGCCGGACCCCACACATCAAAATGCACTAAATCAAAAGGTTTTGCAGCTTTACTGTCACTCAAAGGAAACACAGTGCGATGACTCTTGGCCAAAATACATGTCTCACACTTAAAACTTGACTCATCACAAGAGCGGAATAAAGATGGAAACAGACGCTTAAGGTAGCCAAATGATGGGTGTCCCAAGCGACGATACCATAACCAAATTTTTTGTTTGTCTTTGACACTGCAACTTTGAACAGTATTAACGACACGATCACGAACTGGTGCAGAAGGCAATGTCAAATAATATAACCCCCCTATCCGTTTACAATGCCCAATCATCTCCTGAGTCTTGAGATCCTGAAAAGAGCAATGTGTAGGATAGAAAGTAGCAGAAGCATTAAGTGTATCAAGTAATCGACCAACAGATAACAAGTTACCATGGATATTGGGAACTAGTAACGCACGAGACAAGGACAGAGTAGGAGTGAGAGAGATTGTGCCCTCACCAGTAATTGGAGAGGGCAAGCCATTAGCACTAGTTATGTATGGGTCACGGGTGTTACTAGACAACTCATCAAAAAATTTAGCATAATAAGTCATATGATCAGAAGCACCAGTGTCAATTATCCAAGTATTAGAGTCAGTACCTGGAATAGAATCAGAGACACACAAATTTGTAGAGGCAGTAGCAACAGCACCAACAATGGAGTTATCACCCATGATTGCAGCAGAAATTCAACAGATTACGGCAGAGTATACGGCAGAACACAGCAGATGCACAAATACGGCAGATGCACGAAGACAGAAATGACACGAACACAATAGATGCACGAACACTACAACACGACACGCAAACCCAGGAGGGCACACACGGCACAGGTAGAGAAAAAAAATATAGGGATAGAACACGGGTGGGCACAACACACAGGTCACCAGAAAATGAGGCTCTGATACCAAGTCAAACAATATGGGTAGAATATTTTTCAGATTTATTTCATTCTCCGAAAGAAGGTATTTATAATACAAGGTTACAAACCCTAGCAGGGTTATACTAGGAAATAAGAAAAGTCATAATTACATAATAACTATACAAAAAGGAAATAAATAAAATCCTAATAGAATAAGAAAGAAATATCCTAATAAGACTAGGATCTCGCTAACAACAAACTGGTCTCCTTCTTGATCTAGTTTGAAGGTGAAGTCCCCGATTCCTGGGTTGAATTGGTCTATCCATGAAGTCAATTGTAAGCTTTGATCCATCACCATCCCAGGAATGAATGTATCAGTTGGATTTTGAAAGCTCTGCCACAAAATATTATTCACTGCCAATGGATCATCATCACCATCCCTTAACACCACCAGATTCCCAGAATCCATAAGCCTCACCGTCAAATTTAACGATGTGGATGTTTCATGGCCTGTTGACCAATAAGACTTTCGACTAGAGTTATCCAAAACTTGGAGCTTACCATCTTTGATTGCAAAAACTCTAGTACTCGTTGAACTGACAGCAACTGGTTGGTCTTCTATGTTGGCAACCCAAACAACTGTCCATGGACTCATATTGTAATACCAAATGCCAACATATCTTCTATCAAGGCCAGAGCTTTGCGCTGATGAAGGTGTAAAAAATCCCAGTTCAAATTTTCCTCCAGCTGAAACAAGAGTTTCTGATCGAACCCCATCTGTAATTGGAGTGTCATATGTGAGTGTGTCCCTAGCAGAAGAAAACGGGTGCGCAGAGCATAACAAGAGTAACAATGTAAACCATGTAATGGTGCAATTTGTTCTTGTAATCCTTCTTCTTCTTCTGCAGGCCATCATGAAAGTTTTTACTGGTTCAAAAATGGCCTCGTTTCTTCAAGTGCATTATCATTTTGCAAATAGATAAAAAAAAAAATTTAAGACAGCTAGTTCGGTCCAATAAGCCATTTTCCTAGTTCCAATATATCAACAGGGAACTAAACTAATCATACCAAGTCATCATTACCTGAAATTAAATACAGTTTACTAGTCGGTAGAGCCACCCTGCAATCACTAAGAGCAGCTCCAGCGAGGGAGTCCAGCCCGAGTCTGGGGGGGGAAAAAAAAAAGTTGTTCCAGCAGACAGCACAGGCCCGGGAGAGGTGTGGGACCCATCAACTCGGGCTGGCCCTAAGGCAGCTTCAGCCCGAGGTCCAAAATGAGGGCTGCTGATGTCAGCGCTACAATACCCGCTACAGTACTGCTACAGTACTCACTGATTTGATTTTTTTTCCCTGTAGCCACGTGGCGTCGTCTGGGCTCTCCGATCTGATTTTTTTCCTCCAATCCAACGGCAGCCAATTTTTTTGCAATAAATTACTGGAAAAAATTTGGAAAAATTTTTAAAAAATACCCAAAAATTAATGAAATTTTTTCTATAATATGCCTTTTTTTTTTTTTTTTTTTTTTATCTGAAATTTGAAATTGAAAATTTTATCCGATTATGATATATGAATAGTTTTGACACGTAGGAACCCGAAAATCTAATCCGAAAATATTATCCAAATTAATTATTGTAGTAAAAAAAGTTGTAAAAAAATAATAAAAAATGAATAGTAATTGCCCTTTGCCATGGCAACGGGTGGAAACACAAAATACTATTTGCAAGGGCAGCCACTATTCACATGAATAGTAGCTGCCCTAGCTCCCCCCTTGCCATGGCTAAGGGCAAATGGGTGGAGTTGCTCTAAATGGTTGATGCTTTTGCTTTATCAACCGAGCTGAATGATTGAAAAGTAGCTGGCATAATGTTAGGGCCAAAGTCGTCTGATTTATTTATTTATTACTTGGACAAAGATTTCTTTGTTTTATTATTACTGCTTGTAAATTACTTGTCACTCCTGCCACCTAAAAACCTAAAAATGAGGACCGTCATTAACCATATAATACAAGTCCACCCGATCCAATCCAAAAAAAAACCTAGACCCCAAAAAACAAAAAATATTCCAAGGTGATTTTCATTATATGCTACTCATATTGTGTGACCAAGTAGCATTGCAAAGAGGTCAAATCTTTGTGACCGACATTAGAGTTGAGAGGGCTTTTACAATTACCACGTTTGGCCGCGTAGACTCATCACAAAGAAAAAGTTACAGTTTTAGCATAAAGGAAAATATGAGACATGAAAAGTCAAAAGTTTACTTAAGGAGGACAAAAGGACTAATTATAGCCTCATAGGGCTCGTCAATGGGCCAGGCTGGGTTTTTTTAGAAAATTCAAAGCCAAAGCCCAAGCCCAACCTATGGGCTGGGCTTGAGAAAGCTCATTGGGACGGACCAAGCTAAGCCCAATGGGCCAGGGCGAAACGAGCCTACTTCATTTGAAAAAAAACCATAAACTTAATCATAAGAGCATTTTAGTCCAAATTTGAGATTAAACTCACTTAATTCCAATATTTTCACATCAAACCAAATTCATAAAACACTCAATAAAGTCACACAACTTAATAAGATTTTCCACAAAAATAATAAAACCAAAGTATTATTTTTTAGGTTATTACATAATTAGACCATAATACGTTTTAAAAAATAATAAGTATCAAAAAAATATTTTTTTCAAAGGATGGTATGAATAAATATGTAAATGTTTGGTGATGTGTTCAAAAAAAAGCATGATTATATTTGGTGGTACGATTATGTTTCGTGATATGATTATATTAGGTGATATGATATGTTGTTCATCTTATTATTATATATATATAATTGTTGTATTAATAATTGATACAAATTAATGTGCTAATCATCCAATTATAAACTAGGAATGAGTAAAGAAAAGAAAATGAAATGAAACAAAATATATATGTGATTTAAGTGATATAATCCTAATTCTAAACTCTTATTTATACATAATTATATAAGATAGTTTATTATCCCAATCCTTACAGAATTGGTCTTCTATTCGTTATCGGATTGCAAGACTCAAGACTGATCAAGAACTCAACACAACTCTCGACCTGCAGCCTCTGTGTAAGTGTTCCATATGGATTACAAGGCTAAAGGGGTTTCTAGTTCTATAAGAATTAGGATTAACAGTTCTATAGCAATAAGGATACCTCAAGGAGTCTCTTGATGGGCAAAACTCCTTCAGTGATGCATATAAATAGAGCAGCTCCCTCTAAGAGCCGATACACACAAAATCTCATCAAGTAATTCACCCCATCTGGAATCTGAGAATAAGGCAGTCCGTTATCTTAGAGAAGAGCTGTCAGGTTATCTTAGAGAAGAGCTGTCTCCCAAGTGTTCGATAAAAGACTTCAATAGCAGAACAAGGTTAGTGTTCAAGTTATTATAGCTTTAAAGTTTACAATCGGTTATTGTGATTCTAATTGGGCAAACTGCCCTATGACGAGAAGATCCACTTCACTCTACTGTGTTTTTCTGGGAATTCACTCATATCCTGGAAGACAAAGAAACAGAAAATGGTATCTTGTTCATCTGCTGAAGCTGAATATCATTCCATGGCAGTTGCTACTTGTAAGCTGACTTGGTTGTGATCTCTTTTGAAAAATCTACGAGTTACAAATCTAGGTCCTGCAAAGTTGTTCTGTGACAACCAAGCAACCCTTCATATGCCACCAATCCCTTTTACCACGAACGAACGAAACACATTGAGATTGATTGTCATGTGGTTCATGAGAAGATTCAAGCTGGACAGATTGCTGCCTCATTTGTTCCATCTGTGTCATAGGTAGCAGATTCGTTCACAAAAGCCCTTGGAAGTAATGCTTTGCACAATCTTTTACGCAAGTTGGGCATTCTTGATATCCATGCTCCAACTTGAGGGGGGAATGTTAGAAATTAACAGAGAGTTTATTTATTTCCTTGTATGTATTGATTGTAATTTATTGTAATTGATTTAGGAGTAGCCTCCAAGTAACCTAGTATTCTTTGTAAGGTATGCAAATATTTGTATAAATACTTAGTCTCTTGGCTCTATCAATACAACGGAGAAATATTCTTCACAAACACAACCAATTTGACAATTTGTGACCAGCAGAAGCACAAAAAGTTACCGCGTAGAATCATCAGGCAAAAGATAAATCAATTGATCATCATTACGAAGAAAAAGTTACACTATAAATATATAAAAATAAAAATAAGAAATATGATACATGAAGAGACAAAAGTTCACTTAAAAGGATAAAAGACTAACTAGTAACCACAGCCCCAAACCATTCTTTAATTATCTACCTTCTTCTAGACTTGTAGTTATTTCGGCAAATGTTTCTGGCTTAGTAGAAGAAGAAGCTGTGCTGGAGTTGTTGCCTCTCCTTAAGAGAAAGGCTGGTTGTTTAGGAGTTGGAGAGATTGCAATTTCACTGTCAAGCATGGTAAGAACATTTGACATGGTGGGACGATCAACAGGGTCTTCTTGTACGCATAAGAGCCCAACATTGACACACTTCATGAATTGACTTTTGTTGCAACTTTCATCCAAAGTCCTGTCCATTAGTTCCGAGGCCTTGTTTTCTGTCCACAGTCTCCATGCCTGGGAAAATGTTTAAATTTCAATATGTTATAAAGTATAAAATGGGGATGAAGCAAATAAATGGGCACGAAAGATTCATTCAACAGACTTACATAATTTATGAGGCTGAAAGTTTGTTTGGTTTGATAAAATCCTGTGTTCTTTTTTCCACTGATTATCTCAAGAAGAACCACACCGAAGCTATACACATCTGATTTCACTGAGAAAGTTCCATCTAATGCATACTCTGGAGACATGTAGCCACTGCGTCACAAATTATATTAACAGTTTGTAAAATATGCAGGCACCAAAGCACTTCCCTCTAAAAGGGTCAACGAATTGAAATTTCAAATTTGTGCTACATTGTATGAAATATCCACCCTGAACTTTAAACCGTCCACACGAAACTACTAAGTTCCAACTACTGTGTTTGTGTTGACTCAGTTTCTTTGCCTCCAACAATCCTCGCCAAGCCGAAGTCCGATATTTTGGGGTTCATCTCCTCATCTAAGAGAATGTTGCTGGTTTTCAAATCTCTGTGAATGATCCTCAATCTGGAATCTTGATGAAGATAAAGAAGTCCTCGAACGATTCCCAAAATGATGTTAAAGCGCATCTCCCAATTAAGAACCATGCTTTTTGTATGATCTGGCAAACTTTGCATTTTCCGTTAGAGAAACTTGGGAGATCTGGTGATCAAGAAACCATATATGATGCAGTAAAAAATACTGAAATGAGGACTAGGAGCAAACCAAATATAAAGATGTCTAAGCTTTTGTTAGGCATGTACTCATAGAGTAAAATCTTTTCTTCTCCTTTAATGCAATATCCTTTAAGCCTAACAAGGTTTCGGTGTTGAAGTTTGGCAATCAGCACCACCTCATTCTTAAATTCCTGTAAGCCTTGTCCTGAAGCCCTTGATAACCTCTTTACCGCAATCTCTTGATCTCCAAGAAACTTGCCCTGGACAAAAAAAAATCCCCTCTCAAATGAATTTACAACTAACCAGAATAATTAATGATAAAACAATTTTGGAGGGACAATAACACAACACATAAGTGTTGCTAAGGTGGCTCAATTGCAATGAAATGGAAAACAAGTATTCCTCCATTACCTTGTAAACAGGGCCATAGCCCCCTTGTCCAAGCTTGTTTGCATCTGAGAAATTATCTGTAGCGTCTAGTATGCTTTGCAAATAGAAAAAGGGTACATCTATACCTTTCTCATCTTCTTCCTTGAACTCACCTGTGTCTATCAACTCTTGGACTTGCCTTTCACTATCAAGTTGTGCTCGATTTATTTTATCTAAGACATGAAATTGAAGAATATTATTCTCATGCTGTCATTCAATAGGACCAATCCTGCAGATGTTCATGCATAGAGTGCATCTAGTAAAGTAGTTACCTTGTCTCTTGGTTATCTTTCTTCTCCATATATAAACACAAACGATGCATGCAAGAAAAATTCCGGTTGTAACAACTGCCACAACTATCACTATCAGAAACACTGGCACTTTGCTTCTTGGTTTTGGTGTCTGTTGAAGATTACCTTCTATAAGAAAGCAAGAGGAAATTCTACATGTGAATTATCATCATGTAGTTAGATTATTGAAGTCACAATCTAAAATGATATGATGCATTTATAATGAGCCAATTAAATGATTGGATTTATCAGTCAAATTCTACTTAGTTTCAGTTATTTCTATGATTTCTACTCAGACGGACAAGCATTGGTCTCAACATAAATTGATTTGCAGTAACAGGTTCATGCATCAGGGCAATTTTATGCCTAGCCTAACATGGCGTTCTCACCTTGAGTACAATTTAAGTTAAAGCCACTCCATTGATAATTGGCATTGCAAAGGCATCTTTTCTTTCCATCTCTTTCTGGACTGCAAGTTGAATGTGGCCAACCCCTGCAGTCTGCAGATGTTGTACAGGTTGGTTTCCGGAGGCGGCTTCCAACCTATCTCTACTGCATTAGTACTCCGGATGAAAGTTGAGAACTAAAATTTCCCGGGGGAACATAGCAACTGATCACATTGAAAGGAAATGGAAGGTTCAGCTGTTGACGGTTGACTCCGTTTATAGGGTCACAATTATCCACATTTTTGGCTTGGATGACGAATCTTTGTGTACTTGGGTTGATACTAATAACTCTAAAGAGGGTGCCATTCGGTCCCACGAAGCTAACCGGGCCTGTGATGGTGCTGCAGTTGAAACGAAAGTACATGGGGTCACCGCATTCCGGTCCAGTGCTCAGGGGATATGGAATGATGGTTGTGCCACAAGGCTTGCAGTCTCTTCCGGTTGATTCTGCACAAGATGTAATTTCCTGACTGTCATAAACGAACTAATAAATTAGCATTAACCTCATGCTTCTGCAATCATGCTCACATGTAAAAGCTTAACATAGAATGCTTCTAATATATAACATTGACCGTTTAGTTGTGTATGCTTGTAGAGTTTGTAGATAAACTGAATATTCTCATTAACTAATTGTAATTCTGATTACAATGCTTATATAATATACAGGTAAAGGGTATAAGAGTGACAGCTGTACAAAATCTGTTGCAACAGATTAACGAAAGAATTAGTTCTAACTAATCACATGAGCTTGACTCAGGTCTTTGACTGAGATGAGTGGCTAGGATTGTTTTCAATAGTAGCTCTATCAGAGTTTGTTACTCCTACGCACGTATGACATCCCTCAACATTATTGATTGTAGTTAATCCTAACTGAGGTGCTTTAAACTCTCACTCTCGTACATCTATTTTCAACTGTAAAGTAGTTTGGTGAAGCAAACCAACAACTACATATATTCCATTGTAATCCCAAATTAAACAGAGAAATGTAATACCTATACCAGACAAGGCAACTCGAGCAGAGAGGTTGTGGCCATCAAATCCATACTCTTCTTGAAGATTATTTAGATCGCTGGACCATGTCCAGCACGAGGAAGGAGCAGGATCCCTGCTAGTGCTGTTTAGACCTGCAGTATATGAGAAAGCCTGGCACTGGCAGCTCTTTAAGCACTCTTTCCTGCATTCTGTTTCATTTTCAGAAGTTATTTGTGAGTCTGGTTTTCCCACTTTCATCATCTTCAAGCTCAAGAAAGTGTCCTCTCTACATATTGTCGACTCCCTTGCACATCCACCTGAAAAGTCTCCAGCTTCCCATTCCTCTGCAGACTGAGGTTTAAAACCTGGCAAACATTTGCACACCAACGGCCAATTATTAATGTTACAGCTGCCAAAGTTCCCACAAGCATTAAGCACACTGCATTGATCTCTTGGCTCTTCCATAACAAATTCCACTGCTTTGTGTGTTTATTCCAGGACAGAAACTGTACCTCCCCAGTAAAATTCATCAGCATTCTTGTATAATTGTAGTCCAATCTTGTCACAGTTGTAAAATTATAATATTTATTTCGACTTCTAGATCTGGCAGTATTCTTGCTGAAATTGATAATAGATCATCTAGTGGAGGAAACATTGCGGCCGAGCTAGAAAATTTATTACCGGACTCTTCACTTCTCAGTAAGGAGTCGAATTTTTTAAGGTAACAAATTGGTCTCCTTCTTGATCTAGTTTGAAGGTGAAGTCCCCGATTCTCGGGTCGTCTTGGTCTTTCCATGAAGTCAATTCCATGTGGTTATCCATTTTCATCCCAGGAATGAATGTATCAGTTGGATTTTGAAAGCTCTGCCACAAAATATTATTCACTGCCAGCCGATCGTCACCATCACTTAACACCAGGTTCCCAGAATCCATGAGCTTCACCATCGGGTTGAGAGCAGAAGAGGAGTTACCTTCTCTGCTGACCAATAAGACACTCCAGTACTTGGATCCCACACATGAAGGGTACTTTCTTTGATTTCAATAACTCCAGTGGAATTGGCAGGAACTGGCGTATCTCTGTTGGAAACCCATACAACTGTCCTTGGAGTCAGTTGATGATACCATATACCAACATATCTTCCATTGCCAGACCTTCCGGATTCTGTAGATGAAGGTGTAAAGAATCCCAGTTCAAATATTCCTCCAGCTGAAACAAGACCTTCTGATCCGTCGTCCTTAATTGGATTGTCGCGTGACGTTAGAGTATCTCTAGCAGTAGCAGAGCAAAACAGGTGGTGAGAAAAGCACAACAAGAGTAACGCATAGGAGGAGAAGATGGAAGATAGCATGCGATTTGCAAACCATGAAAGGTTGGAAATAAACATAATACAGGGAGCCAAACACACGTGCTTGGCTCGAGGGAGTCTACTGGTAGTCGTATCAACCTTCATTGTTTCCCTCCTACCAAAATAAGCCATTTTCCTGTTTACTATCAGAAAATGTGAGATTTACGCCATTAGTGCTCTGCAATTTGCACCTAGAACAAACACTTGATATACCAGCCAAAGCAGAAAATGTTATCCTATAGTAATCACTCAGTGTTTTCATATGACTATAGAGGAAGCTGCATGATTGAAGAGTACTAGTAGCTGGCTCAATGTAAAGTCAAGGTCGTCTGAGTTTGGTAGCCAAAGCAGAAAATGTTATTCCTGTATCAATCACATCAATGTTTTCATATGACTATAGAGGAAGCTGCATGATTGAAGAGTACTAGTAGCTGGCTCAATGTCAAGTGTTAAAAATTGGCCCAAATTGCATTGATTAATTAATTGTGTAAGGGCCACTTTAGTGTTGTTGTTTGCTAGCTTTCTTCATTTGTCATCCGTGGGTTTTCAAATGGGGAAATGATGGCACATGCCATCTTTATTAGAGCAACTCCACCCATATTGCCCTTAGCCATGGCAAGGGGGGAGCTAGGGCAGCCACTATTCACGTGAATAGTGGTTGCCCTTGCAAAATCAGAATTTTGTGTTTCCACCCATTGCCCTAGCTAAGGGCAGTTACTATTCATTTTTTTGTTTTATTCACAATTTTTTTACCTCAATAATTAATTTGGATAATATTTTCGGATAAGATTTACGGGTTCCTACGTGTCAACACTATTCATAATCGGATAAAATTTCGGGATAAGATTTTGGGTTCAAATTTCGGATGAATTTCAAAATTCAAATTTCAGATAAATTTTTGGGTTCAAATTTCGAATGAATTTCAAAATTCAAATTTCGGATGAATTTCAAAATTCAAAATTCAGATGAATTTGGGTTCAAATTTCGGATGAATTTCAAAATTCAAATTTCAGATAAATTTGGGTTCAAATTTCGGATGAATTTCAAATTTCAGATAAGATTTTCATCCAATCAAATCAAGCCACGTGGCATCTCTATCTTGCCAAATTTTTCTATAAAACCAGAGGCTCACATCATACCTCTCACACCACATCTTTCAATATTTTCATTTCTTAGAGTTTAGAATTCATACTCCATTCATTCTCAATGGAAGAATATAGGAGATGCTTGGAGAGGCACGAGAGAGAAAGAAAGGAGAGAAACCGTAGAGCCGATGAAATGAATGAGTTGCAGAGGCAAGTCGATGAGCAAGTTCTCATAGCAGTGGCAATGGAAGAGGAAGAGAACCAAGGTCGCCGCCGTGGTTCACAAGTCGGCCGTCGCCGGAATGTGGACAGACATAGGCATTCTCGGGGTAAGAATCTTTTGGAAGATTATTTTATCCCAACTGCTTTGTACTCTGATGTTGATTTTCGAAGGCGATTTAGAATGCAACCTCATTTGTTCAATAAAGTCATGCATGATATTTGCAATTATGATGCATACTTTGTTCAAAAGTGTGATGCTACTGGGGTTTTGGGCCTTCTTCCGGAGCAAAAGCTTACAGCTGTTATACGAATGTTGGCGTATGGAGCATCTGCTGATCAGGTGGATGAGGTTGCCCGAATGGGGAAGTCCACTACGTTGGAGGCTTTGGTAAGATTTTGTGATGCAGTTGAAAACCTGTACACTAGGGACTACCTGCGTAGACCTACTCCCAGGGACCTCCAACGGCTTCTACAAAAAGCCGAAGCTCGAGGATTTCCAGGAATGATTGGTAGCATCGACTGCATGCATTGGCAATGGAAGAATTGCCCAACTGCCTGGCAAGGTGATTTCGGAAATAGAAAAGGCACAAAAAGTATCATCCTGGAAGCCGTTGCTGGGTTCGACACATGGGTTTGGCATGCTTTCTTCGGAGTTGCCGGAGCCCAAAATGACCTCAATGTCCTGGGTCAATCTCCGGTCTTCAACGAAGTTTTGAGCGGCCAAGGCCCCAATATTACCTATCAAGTCAACAATACAGTCTACCAGACGGGGTATTATCTAGCTGACGGTATCTACCCAAGGTGGACCACATTTGTCAAATCCATTCCGAATCCCCGATCCCATAAGCAAAAATTATTTGCTACCTATCAAGAAGGATACAGGAAAGATGTCGAAAGGTGTTTTGGCATCCTTCAAGCTCGATGGTTGATTGTTCGAGGTGCGGCCCGTATGTTTGATCAGGAGGTCCTCCGAAGCATTATGATGACTTGCATCATCCTCCATAATATGATTGTGGAGGATGAGTACGATTATGATGCTGGAGAGGTCTATGAGCCGGATCCAATAAACACGGCGATGACCCGGATTTATGAAATGCCCATGGGGCCAAATGGGGAACCGTTGGAGCCGGAACCGTTGGTGAGGGACGATAGTATGATGACCCGGATGATAGATCGATATACAGAGATGCAATCTTCGTATATTCATGAAAGCCGTCAACTTGACTTGATAGAGCATATATGGGCGGTGAAAGGGAATGAAGATGAATGATGGAGCATAGATGCTTTGGTTATGTTTTATTTACTTATGGTTTGGTTGTGTTGTTTACTATTGCTTATGGTTTTGTTGTGTTGTTTTGTTGTGTTGTTTTTATTTATTATTGTGCCTTGTTTGTAGTTTTTGTTTTCATTTTATTTATGTTATGTTTGATGTATGGAATATGTTGAATAAAATGGTCTTTTATTGAATGATTTGTTTATTAAATAAAGAAATCCAATACAAGTCATTAAGAATTACTACTACTAAAATAAAACATGAAACATGAAGTACACCAACTTTAATACAAAACATGAAAAATAAAAATACATAAAAGGTATGCCAACTAATTTAATGGTTTTGATCATTTAACCAATCGGTGTTGCTAGGCCCATCATCTTGGAAAAGTCTTCTTCTCATAACATCCCTCCGTTCTAGCTTCCAATATTGTTTTGTTTCGGGGGACATATGACTTGTATCCATTGCCATGGTTTCCCGATCCGTCTTCTGCTGATCTTTTTTGCGCAAATACTCCTTTTCTCGTGAATGTTCGGCTTGAATTGCCACCTCCATATCTTGGCGTTTCTGCTCCATTTCAAGTCTACGGAGTTTTGCCTTGCAATTTCCTCCAAAAACTTTGAATTAAAATTGCTTGAATTACCCGCTTTCTTTGCCTTCGCGGCCTTTCGGCCAATGGGCCTTGGTTCTTTTTGGATGGGTGAGTCTTCACTCATAGGGGAATCGAGAGGTGAATCCGATGTCGTTGAATCACGGAGAGGCGTCTCGTTTAACACAACTTCGGGACCCGTCGGAATAATTGTGAACCGTTTACAATGTTTCACCACCTCCCAACATTCATGATGGGTGAACTTTTTTTTGCCACCCCCGGTTGCACCGAACCACATCTGTGCTTGAATGAGCTATTTAACAAAAAAAAGGAAATGCAATAACTATTTAAAATATATTGGATATGCAAGTAACAAAATAAAAATAATGGAAATGCAATTAACCTTACAAATAAATTGGAAGTGCAAGAAATATGAAGAAACAATTGGAAATGCAATAAATATTAACAACATAATGAAAATGCAAGAAATATTAACAAAATATTTGAAATGCAATAAATATTAACAACATATTGAAAATGCAAGAAATATTAACAAAATATTTCAAATGCAAGAAATATTAACAAAAGATTTGAAATGCAAGAAATATTAACAAAATATTGACAATGCAATAAATATTAACAACATATATATATTAGGACATTAAACTTAATGATTACGAAAATTACAAAATACTTACTTCGTTAGTACGATTTTCCCCACTTCTATACAAATTCATCGCTTTTGCCAAGGCATCTCTCCATTTTGCCATCTCTTTGTTGAGAAGTTTCCACCTACTCGACAATGCCATTTCCGTACGAGTGGAGTCCGGAATTTTTTCGCAAAATTCGGCATGAATTTTTTTCCACATATGGAAAAATTTCATCTCATTGCCTGACAAGGGACAATGACAAACTCGGAGCCAAACCTCACACAAAGAAACATCTTCCATGGTGCTCCACGCCCCTCCGGTTTCAATAGAAGAAGCCATAAAATAATAACTAAAATTACAAGGTGAAAGAGATGAAAATGTTGAGTGAAGAGTGAAGAAAATGTTGAGTAAAGAGTGAAAAATATGTTGAGTAATTGTAGAAGTAGAATAAAATGTATGAGAATTGGTGTTGAAAGTGAAGGGTATTTATAGGTATTTATAGGAAAAAAAATCAGAATTTTTTAGGATTTTTTAGTATTTTTTAAAAAAAAATTTCGATTTTTTTTCATAATTTTATTGTCCAAAAATCGCCAGCCGTTGGATTAAAATTTGGAATCAAATCGGAGCGCTGGGGGACTGCCACGTGGCTTCCACCCGTTGTGGCTGGCGTCGCGCTGACGTCAGCGCACGCGGGTTCAAATTTTTTTAACGTTGGCGCGTGCATTGCACGCGCCAACGGTAAAAAAAAATTGAAAACCGCGTGACGACGTCAGCGTGACGTCGTCGTGACGTCACCCCCCGCGTTTTGGACCTGGGGCGAAAGTTGCCTTCGGGCCAGCCCGGGTAGGTGGGTCCCACACCCCCCCCCGGGCCTGGGCTCATGCGCTGGAACGAGATTTTTGTTTTTTTTCCCCCCTCCCCTCGGGCTGGGCTGCATGGCTGGAACTGCTCTTAGAGCACTTCTAGCAGAAGGCTGTGGCCCGGGCAAAGGGGGCCCAAGCCCCCAGCAGAGGTTCCAGCGTGCAAATGCAGCCCGGGCAGTTGGTAGGCTCCACATGCCTGGGCGGGTCCGAAGGCAAGAACAGTCTGGGCTATTGCATGGGTTTGCTGATATCAGCAACGAAAAAATTTAAAAAAAAATCTAAAAAATTTCAGAATTTTTTTAATAAATATTTAGTCATATTTTTCACTTCCCACACCAAAACTCTATACAAATTCCTCTCCTCATATCTCATGTGAATAATGGTTGTCCTTGGGTTGCCATGGCAATGGGTGAAAACACCACAAGCTTTTTATAAAGGCTGCTACTATTCACGTGAATAGTAATAGCCATTACCTTGCCTTTATCCTTTGTCATGGCAAATAAGTGAAAGTGCTCTTGAATGGCTGGAGACAGATAAATGGAGTGGGTGCCAGCACTTGAGTGATCTACACCTAAAGCAATTGGAGTCCAATTTGGCGGGCACGTGCGGCTACTTCTGTGGCTAGCTTTGTTTTGGCATTCGATGGCTTTGCAAATGGGAATGCAGTGTTTGCAGACAGTGGAAAAGCAAAGGCAGACAGTGGAAAAGCAAAGGCAGACAGTGGAAAAGCAAAGATGGAAGATAGCATGCGACTTGCAAACCATGAAAGGTTGGAAATAAACATAATACAGGGAGCCAAACACATGTGCTTGGCTCGAGGGAGTCTACTGGTAGTCGTATCAACCTTCATTTGTTTCCCTTGTTTAGTATCAGAAAATGTGAGGTTTACGCCAATAGTGCTCTGCAATTTGCACCTAGAACAAACACTTGATATACCAGCCAAAGCAGAAAATGTTATTCCTGTAGCAATCACTCAATGTTTTCATATGACTTTAGAGGAAGCTGCATGATTGAATAGTAGTAGCTGGCTCAATGTCGAGTCAAGGTCGTCTGAGTTTGGTTTTATTGCATCTTTTCTTTGTGTCCACTGATTTAATTTCATTTATCTCCCTCCCTCTCATTTTGTTATTTGTAAATTTCTCAAGGTCTCAAATTCCTTTGGTCCTACTTCATATATTTCAAAATTTCCCATTATCGCTGACTTTTCTTCCCTCTGAAAATCAAATTTTGCTTTCAATTTTTTAGATTTTGAGAAATTTTTTAGAGGCAACCGCATTTCTGTTGGGCTGGGCTTCGGTCATGCAGCTTCGAACCCTGCGGTTGACGACGTCCTTCTTTCCTTCTTCCTTTTACCTTTCTTTGTTGGTTTTGGCCCAGCATTGTTTACCAGTGAAGTAAAGTTTAGCCCACTCCATATTTGTCAGTCGTTAAAACAACATATGGATTGGATTAGCGTTATCATTTCGTTATTATGGAAAGATTTAAAATGAATACAATAATAATATGATTGTTGTGGATTTTAAAAAAAAAAAAAAAAAAAAAAAAAAAAAAAAAAAAAAAAAAAAAAAAAAAAAAAAAAAAAAAAAAAAAAAAAAAAAAAAAAAAAAAAAAAAAAAAAAAAAAAAAAAAAAAAAAAAAAAAAAAAAAAAAAAAAAAAAAAAAAAAAAAAAAAAAAAAAAAAAAAAAAAAAAAAAAAAAAAAAAAAAAAAAAAAAAAAAAAAAAAAAAAAAAAAAAAAAAAAAAAAAAAAAAAAAAAAAAAAAAAAAAAAAAAAAAAAAAAAAAAAAAAAAAAAAAAAAAAAAAAAAAAAAAAAAAAAAAAAAAAAAAAAAAAAAAAAAAAAAAAAAAAAAAAAAAAAAAAAAAAAAAAAAAAAAAAAAAAAAAAAAAAAAAAAAAAAAAAAAAAAAAAATGATGATGAACATAACATAGAGAAATTGAATGGCTCATGCAAGTCTGAACACAATAATAATATATTGATGGGCTGGCGTTTGGTGATACACTTGGGAGGGAGACTTAGGCAGTTGATTGGTTTGAATAAGCCCTAGATTAAGAAATCGGAGATGAGAGATAATGCCCAGAAAGTAGAGATTTTTGGCATGCCCAATTGACCCAAACGCTCCTTTGCTGGGTCTCATAGAGAGAGACCTCAAGAACAAGGCCTTTGATTTTGGGAGCTCTCTCTCCCTGCAACCAAAAAAACCACCATTGTTCCTCTGTTTCGCCGCGACGCGCCCCCCCACCAACCCCCAAAAAAAAAACAAAACATGACTGCCCCCTCCCACAACCCACCAACCTAGCCACTCTAGCCACCCCAACCACCACCAGCCACTCTAGGAACGCGCGGCACGTGATGGGGAACATTAGGGTTTTGCGGCATATGGACGACGAAGAGAGGTTAGCGAAGAGAGTCGCGGGGCCGTATGATCTCGTGATGGGTTCCAAATCTGGATTTCCAAACATGGAGGCAGATCGGGGTTGATTGGGGATGGAGGTGCGTCGGGGGTGGGAGAGAGAGACAGAGACAGAGAGGGGCGGGGTGGTGCTGCTGATGTTGGGCAGGGGCTTGTGGCAAGGGGTGGGTTTGTGGGTCTGCATTGTTCACTTTTGAGGTGGGTGGTTATGGCTGTCACTGCCCGGTGGGGGTTGGGTAAAGAGATCTAATAATTAAAAAAATTTATTTTTATTTATTTATAATTTAATATTAAAAAAAAATTTAATTAATGAAATTGACAGAATTAAAGCATATGCCCTGATTTGCTAACAGCTGTAAATACGGTGACCAAAATCAAAAAATTGAAATTTCGATGACCAAAATTTAATTAGACCATAACCCCTATGACTAAAAATGCAATTACCCCTAAAATAAATGGATATGAAAGATTCAACAGCACACTTACATAACTTATGAGGCTGAAAGTTTGTTGGGATTGATAAAATCCTGTGTTCTTTTTTCCACTGATTATTTCTAGAAGAACCACACCGAAACTAAACACATCTGATTTCACTGAGAAAGTTCCATCTAATGCATACTCTGGAGACATGTAACCACTGCATCACAAATTATGATAACAGTCAATAAATTTGTGCTACAATGTATGAAGCATCCAAACTAAAAATTAAACCGTCTGCACAAAACTTACTAAGTTCCGACTACCGTGTTTGTGTTAGACTCAGTTTCTTTGCCTCCAACAATCCTTGCCAAGCCAAAGTCAGATATTTTGGGGTTCATCTCCTCATCTAAGAGAATGTTGCTGGTTTTCAAATCTCTGTGAATGATCCTCAATCTGGAATCCTGATGAAGATAAAGAAGTCCTCGAGCGATTCCCAAAATGATATTAAAGCGCATCTCCCAATTGAGAAAGATGCTTTTTGTATGATCTGGCAAACTTTGCATTATCCATTAGAGAAACTTGGGAGCTCTGGTATTCAAGAAACCATATATCATGCAGTATAAAAATATTGAAATGAGGACTAGGAACAAACCAAATATAAAGAAGTCTAAGCTTTTGTTAGGCATGTACTCATAGAGTAAAATTTTTTCTTCTCCTTTGATGCAATATCCTTTAAGCCTAACAAGGTTTCGGTGTTGCAGTTTGGCAATCAGCACCACCTCATTCTTAAATTCCTGTAAGCCTTGTCCTGAAGCCCTTGATAACCTCTTTACTGCGATCTCTTGATCTCCAAGAAACTTGCCCTGGAAAAAAAAAATCCCCTTTCATCAATTTACAACTAACCAGAATACATGATCATTAATGATAAACAATTTTCTAGGAACAATAACACAACACATAAGTGTTGCTAAGGTGGTTCAATTGCAATGAAATGGAAAACAAGTATTCCTCCATTACCTTGTAAACAGGGCCATAGCCCCCTTGTCCAAGCTTGTTTGCATATGAGAAATTGTCTGTAGCGTCTAGTATGCTTTGCAAATCGAAAAAGGGTAAATCTATACCTTTCTCATCTTCTTCCTTGAACTCACCTGCGTCTATCAACTCTTGGACTCGCCTTTCACTATCAAGTTGTGCTCGATTTATTTTATCTAAGACATGAAATTGAAGAATATTATTCTCATGCTGTCATTCAGTAGGACCAATCCTGCAGATGTTCATGCATAGAGTGCATATAGTAAAGTAGTTACCTTGTCTCTTGGTTATCTTTCTTCTCCATATATAAACAGAAATGATGCTTGCAAGAAAAATTCCGCTCGTAACAACTGCCACAACTATCAGTATCAGAGACACTGGCACTTTGCTTCTTGGTTGTTCTTCTATTTGCGGTTTTGGTGTTTGTTGAAGATTACCTTCTATAAGAAAGCAAGAGGAAATTCTACATGTGAATTATCATCATGTAATTAGATTATTGAAGTGAACAATCTAAAATGATATGATGCATTTATAATGAGCCAATTAAATGATTGGATTTATCAGTCAAATTTTACTTAGTTTCAATTATTTCTATGATTTTTACTCAGACGGACAAGCATTGGTCTCAACATAAATTGATTTGCAGTAACAGGTTCATGCATCAGTGCAATTTTATGCCTAGCCTAACATGGCGTTCTCACCTTGAGTACAATTTAAGTCAAAGCCACTCCATTGATAATTGGCATTGCAAAGGCATCTTTTCTTTCTATCTCTTGCTGGACTGCAAGTTGAATGTGGCCAACCCCTGCAGTCTGCAGATGTTGTACAGGTTGGTTCCAGAGGCAGCTCCCAACCTAACTCTACTGCATTAGTACCTCCGGATGAAAGTTGAGAACTAAAATTTCCCGGGTTAACATAGCACCATCTGGTCACACTGAATGGAAATCGAGGGTTCAGCTGCTGACTTTGGATTCTGTTTAGATCACAATAATCCACACTTTTTGTTTGGATGGCGAATCTTTGTGCGCTTTGGTTGACACTAATAACTCTAAAGAAGGTGCCATTCGGTCCCACGAAGCTAACCTGGCCTGTGATGGTGCTGCAGTTGAAACGGAAGTACATGGGGTCACCGCAATCCGGTCCAGTGCTCAGTGGATAAGGAATGATGGTTGTGCCACAAGGCTTGCAGTTTACTGGTCGGTAGAGCCACCCTGCAATCACTAAATGGTTGATGCTTTTGCTTTATCAGCCGAGCTGAATGATTGAAAAGTAGCTGGCATAATGTTAGGGCCAAAGTCGTCTGATTTATTTATTTAGGGTTAATAGTTTTATTAGTCCCCCCAACTTGGACCGAATTTGCATTTGAGTACCTCAATTTCCAAAATGGTACTTATGGTCCTTTAACTTTAGTTTCGTTTGGACAACTAGTCCCGCCGTTACTTCTGTCAATTTTTTCATTAAATTTAAGGGTAAATGGGTCTTTTCAGTTGGTTTTATTATCCTCCTTGGGTTAATCGTTTTATTAGTCCCCCAACTTGGACTGAATTTGCATTTGAGTACCTCAATTTCCAAAATGGTACCCGTGGTCCTTTAACTTTAGTTTCGTTTGGACAACTAGTCTCACTGTTACTTCTGTTAATTTTTTCGTTAAATTTAAGGGTAGATTGGTCTTTTCAATTGGTTTTATTAACCACCTTCTGCAACTTGCCTTCCCTCTGAAATAGACCTTGGTGGTACACTAATCCACCATGCCTTAAATATCTAAAGCAATTTCTTCCCTTGGCTTGGTCCCACAATCCCCTTACCACCCTCAAGCTCATCTTCAGCGTCGACTCTATCCGTTTTTGTGACACAAATTTCGACACGGCCGTACTCTGGCTCCACCAGAACCACCCCAAGACTTCGTTCAATACCTTTCTTGGATCCACTACGACAATGGATGATCGGGTTATATCCATGGCTGTGTTTCTTGGTGTGGTTCATGAGTCCCCTCAAGTACTCACCGGCATTGACGCCTTTCCTGGCCCAGCTACCGACGCCGTCCGCCACTCCGATGGTTTGGGCATCATGGCAGATGAAGTGGGCGTCTTTGCCCAAGGGTTTTCTTGGTTTTCTCAGAAAATCTAAAAGAGTAAAAGTCTTTTTTG